CAATCTAAAGGAACGCCAACAAATTATTAACAACAATGGGTAGCAAGTCGAGTAAAAAATCTGAAGAAATAATTATTGCCCAAAACGGCGCTGGGAACAGTGCCGCAGCTACACAGACCGAGACACAGATGTGGACTTCGGTACGGCAGGAGACGTACTTGCTAATCATCATTGCATGTATCCTGATGGCGATACTCTATGTGATGTGGCGCTATTGTAAGACCGGGTACGCCCGGTACCTGCGCCGAGAGCTGGTGGAGCTGACAAGGATGGAGTCACGCGCTGGTGAGCCAGGCTATGACAGCCGCCCACCACAACGCGTAATAGTGTAGTGAAGTGATAAGTGATAGTGAAAGCAGATCGATAAATAGTAAGAATACAAGTGTTCTAAACCAGTGTTTATTTTATAATACAGATAATAGTATGTAATCTGATAGGTACATTAACAATAACAATCGGCGAGTCTATAATATTTTAAACAGTAATACCAACTGTTACACTTTTGTTTTATATGCAATGCATGTATGTAAATGTTCATTTTTTCTTTACTTGTATAATCACTTTATATGTTTGTATGTAACCATTTTTAAATAAGGGGGGTGTACTGTGCCTACAGCCCTAGATTATAAGTATGATGTCATTTGTCTAGTGTATAAGTCATAGGTGTATTCCTAAATATTTTAGTATCGATTAGTGCATCCTAATAAACGCACGTATATTGGCCTACTGTTTTATTGATACTCACCTAAGAAAGTACATCATACATACTTTGGACAGCAAGCGCACACTCACTTAACCAGGTTTCGATGTAATTTATTAGAGATATTAAGGTAATCTAAAGCGCGGATGCGGGCGGGAGCTGCTGCTTCTATCCAGCCTTCCCATTGGCTGAGCTCATTATTAACAATAGTCGTCTAGGCTCTCGTTAACCTATGGCCCGCCGTGGCTATATTTGGTGTATCAAGTTGTCCCGCGCAATTATGTAAGTGGCAGTAGGCGCCGCACGGACGCGACTCTGTCGAATCACCCGCGCTTCCTAGAACACCTCACCAAACGTGTTGCCGCCATTATCTGCACGATTTAAATTTAGAATAACCGCCGAAACCGACACAGGTACCTACTTCTCGTTCAACCACTCACTTAGTCACTTTGTGGGAGAGAATGTAAAGATCCATTTATTGTTTAACCAAGATAATAAGGTCCTGATTAGTATTTAAAGATATCTATGTTTCTTGATTTATTGATTCGATTAAAGTGGATTCCAAACTAATTATTTCTTCACTTGTATATAACATTAACATATTTTTATTAAATTAAATTATAATCCATTAAATTTTGTGGGTTTATTTATGTTGATACGTTAAATCATTCGGACATTTGTATGTAAGCGCCATTATGTCGAGGTCACCCCTGCAACCTTCTTATTCAACTAAAGAATTAATGTGCTCGAGTCTTTTTGGGATTAAACTGTTTGTGTTAGCAGACCACAAAAAAATCTAATTTACTGTGGTTTGCAGAGGATGCCTCGTGTGTGGTGTGGGAGGGCACTGGTCATGAGCCGACCAATAGCAAGCGAGCACTAAGTAAAACAAACCCGTTCATATTTACGATGTTTCTGGCAATTTACGCGAGAAATAAATAAAAAGGTCAGTCGAAACATCGAGACATTGAGGTCATGCACAACTGTCGCATGTTTCTTATTTTATTGTGTAACTAATGATATTTGCTAATGTCTTTAAATGTGTGATGCGATACGCAAAGAGACATAAATGATGATGTTGATTTTAATATTTTGTCTTAAATGATGATGTTGATTTTAATATTTGTTCTAAGTATTTATTATACTTACTGACTAACTACATCACATATATATTAACTTATAAACGCTGTCTATAATGTCCGATATCGTACGTGAATCAACTCACAAAGAAGTTTTGCACGCCGCGAATGATGAATCTATTGGAAAACCCCAACCAGTTGAGCGTGGCCGTGAACGAAGGGATCAGTCAACGACCCAATTTTAAACTACTATCAAACATAATATCTTTATTTGGTACAAGTACCGATAAGTTTGTGAGTACAGCATCAGGCGAGATAATCTGTGATATGAATGGAAGCAACCAAAGTGACACAACACTTGTAACCGCTAACTCTCCCACGACGCATGCGCGCAAACACCGCCGGCGCCTGCCCATTACTCACATAAAGATGTAAGGCCACGCGCACGCGCAAGCCAACATAAACACTATCATTCAAGACTTAAGAATTTAATTCATTCAACGTTTTGAGATCGTAGTGATTCAATCCGGAACAGTGATTCACAATCAGTTCCGAGTAAATATTGATTCACTTCCGCTATAGTGTAGCACTCGAACTCTAGTATTTGAACCATCTTGTGTAAGATAACGAGTTAGTCACCATCTGTTGACAGTCGGAACAAACTAACTACTCGGTACCGGCGGCCATAAAACATTTAACCAATCAACGGCCTACTGATAGATCCGGCTTGCAAACATCGGTGGTGTGTCGACCTGCTTGTAGAAAGTTTCTTCTAAGAATGATTGCTTTATAAATTATTTAGTCATCGCATTTACCCAATAAACCATTCATCTGGACAGTGTTCGATGCAATCACTTATTTAACGGATGCAAGGTCTCAGAAATTTATTTTATTTTTTACTCAAGTAGACGTGTACCTAACATTCTTTATATTTACTGACAACTTTTCCTCATGTTGATGGTCTTTTGTATTTATTTTGATTGTCAATAATAATATATTGAAACGCTTACTAAGAAAAATGGCGCGTTAAGTTGTTTTTCAGTGTTTGTTTTTTTGTTGTACCTAGGTCTCCCACTGCAACTAATTTACAAAATTTTAAAATTTTATTTTAACGGTTGAGGCAGCAAATGATCTGACATATCCCTAGGGGTTTAACAAGTGCTTTGCTGCAAAATGGGGGTTGTTATGGACCTCAGGATTGAAAGCAATAATACTTATGCCTACAAAATTATAAAATATTCTGTTATCGAACTTAATAGGTAGTATTATGAAATTACTGATATAACAGAATATTATTAAAAAGCCGCAAGCATAATAATTACCTATGAGACGCAACTGTCAGTGAATCAGTAGCGTGCCGCGCGCCGCGTGGGTAACGGAACGACAGCAGGAGCGCGCCAAATATGTGAGCCATCTTGCCAGTGTCGGGGATCTCCATCATGATTTCAATCCAAATTCAAAACAAAATTACCAGTACTCCGAATTCCTGCTACTTTTTTATCGTTTGCTCGAACTTTCAATTTAATTCTCCTTTCTGACTATGCTGAGACTTCTATAGTATTTCCTACGTTCCCCAAATCGGATCCGTTTGTGCGGAAGCTGACGCAGATGACGGTATGTCAGGATGCCAGATGCCACATCACCAAGGAATGGGCGCCGATGATATTTTGGCAGCAACTCAAACACGACAACCATGTAGCTCGTATCTTTAAATGTTTTCAACGTGATCCACACATTTTACGCGAAAGAATTATTAGTAAAAATATAAATATTTTGCATTTTTTGGGCATGATGTTGTTTTGTAGAAAGAATAACACCGCGAACACAAAAACAATCGAATAACACCGCGCCCCAATTCGCGGACCGAAGATAGGCTCTGGACGTAATGACCGGTGCCCGTTACGCGATCCATTAAGATAGAGCAGCATTTTAGGGCAGATCCTATCTATCCCTGGCTCCCTAGGGATTATGTAATCGCAATGAAAAGGTCAAAAATATACAGAAACTATAATCCTTTTCAGCAGTTTATCTGCTGAAAAGGATTTATATCCTACCTATCTTGTTTTTATTGAAACTTATAGCCACCATTTTTTTTTAGAAATTACTGGTTACAATTTTTAAATAGGTAGATAGCAGCTTTTTTGCATATCACAAATTAATGAAAACAGCGTCGGTGGGCTAACTAATACGTAGTTAATTATTTAACATAAAACACTATCGATAGGTAAAATGAAATAACTTCAACGCCCAGCAAAAAAAGAAGAAAAGATAAAAACATAACGATAGGTCTTGTATGGCAACACCCAGAATACATTCTTTACAGGCGCATAGTTTAGCGTGCAGTGACCCTAAACACAGGTGACCCATATAATTTTAATGTTACCATTTATTAACCTAATTGTAATGAATACAGTTTCCAATTATACTGAAGTGAATAATATTATACGAAATTATATAAATTGGCCAACAATTACGGTTCAAAGTTTAATTTCCACGAATCTATGTGAGTCAGTTACCGTGTGAGATGAATGGAACGCGCCTCGCTCAATGACTCATCGCGTCCATTCATAAGTTTTTTGGCGCGCTTTCTACTCGTACGTTTTCACTCTACGTTAGTTCCCAATAGATGTCGCTGTTACCAAGTAAACGATCCGTTACGAATTCCTCACGAAGGTATAATCTTATTTTGTCAATGAAAACCGCGATATTTAGAAAAAAAATACTTGCAAACGCTAAAAATATGTTATTATTATTCACAGATTTAAAATGTGTTATATAGTAAACCATTAACGTTACTATGTCTAATTTTTTTCATAAATATCTATAAATGGAATCTTCTGTTTGATAAATACAACAGAACTCAAACTGTTACGATTTGAACCAATTTTGATGAAATATAGCAACGCGTTTTTCAACCCTTTTCAAAGCACTGTTATTTAAATGGCATTCGTTATTTTTAGATTCCTATATTTTATTTTGTGACAAAAATTCAATCTGGCATCAGTATCATAATTTAAATCGGTTAATTACTTAATAAGGTATGAAAAATACATGTTTTGAAATCCCAACCCATCTAAGGTGGAAGAGGTCTCATACGTTCTTTTTTTTATATTATATGGTACAGATGATGTTATGTTGTTTGGTTAGCTATTTTCGGAATACACAGTTTATAAATAAATTGTTTTATTTTATTCTACAGATATTTTTTCAGAAACCAATCACTAGAATATGGTACTGAAGTAGATTCCCTGGAATATGGCTAAAATATGTAAATAGTGTAATTTGTATTGTACCTGAGAGTGTGTGACATGAAGTGTAGTTGAGATCAGCTTCTTTAATGGACATTTTTCGATCAATTTGATATTTCAAAATGCCTATGTTTTATATTTAATAGTAGTTTGAAACGTTGAAAGTTAGTACTCACTGTAGTCGACAGGTGCGGCGCTGGTGGTAGCCTGGTGCTCCGGCAGCGGCTCCGGCGGCGGCTGGCCCGTGGCGCCGGCGTGCGCGTGCCGTAAGTACGCATAGTAGATGCGTGCCGACTGCTCGCTGCCGTCGCATACCTAGGTACCAAACATATCAACGGAATATAAGATTATCAGGAGAAGTCAAAAATTGACGACACTGCTTCTGAAGTCTTGGATCTTTACTATACGAATAATATAACAAGACAATGATTTGTAAGGAGAAAAGTGATGCATTTGCAAGTCTAGCCAACGTAGGTACCTACCACGTTTAGTTAAATTACCTTTAGTGGTATAATATCAGATGTTTAGAACATTTCAAAAAACTGTCTCAGATAGGTACTTACTTCAATCTGTAAGCTGTTCAATTACTGAGTGTAGAATCGGGTAAGTACCTGCTTACGGAGCTTTAACGCAAGTTTGTTTCGGTTAACTGCTATTGTATGAGGATAAATGAAAAACCGAAAGTGAATGAATTAGGTAAACATTAAACACTAATTGTTTGACTGGGACCAGAGGGCCTACCATGACGAGTTAAATTGAATATTTCGGGCGAGAAAAGGGATGGAGCTATAAAAGTATATAGCCTAGAGGTTCAGGGGGTATATACCTATATTTACCATCTTTATACCGCGTTATGGTTATGTTGACTTAAACTTGTTTTCTTTTATACTCTTGAAGTTACATTGTATGAATTTAGACTGTGTGAAGAATGGTGGTAGCAGTATAAACTATGTATATTGTGTCTTCGACAAGGGGGATAAAGTCTGGTAAAAGAAGGTGGTGTTGTACCTGCACCCAGTTATCCTCGGTGAGAGCCAGCAGCGCCCGGCCAGTGTCGGGCAGGAGATGCTTGCGCGGTGCGCAGACGCCGAACGTGCGCGCCACCCAGCGCACGCACCGCAACACATCAGGACGCTCCCACTTCTCTGGATCTGCACAAACCAAGACATATTATTGCCAGCACTAAAATACATCAACATTGGTACAATTACCTACACGGCTATATTAATTCAGAGCTGTGTATGTATGTTATGTACCATAGTAGCTACGTACATCCCACTTTATTTTCCGGGGAATTTAAGCAGGGTATAAGAGTTATATGAATGTGTTCTACATGTATATCATTATCTATTAAGAACGACATTTTTAACAAAACTTTGTGTACACAATCTTTAGGTATGCTTTAATTACCATTTAGTTAATGCGCGGCTCCCTAACCATACCAGCTTTTCATAATTTTGTGATAAGATTTTAAAAAGACAAACGAAAAAAGAAGCTACTGTGTAAACATACGTTACACAAAACACCTAATACTGATTTTGAAGTCCAATGTCGGAGGTCGCAAGCAAAGCTATACATTGGTTCAATGTTAAATTGTACATTGTGTGGTACTATCGCGATATAAGTATGATGTGAATCGTAATATCATGTACCTAGTGCTCGTGCAGACATGACGAAGGTTACAGAGTACAGGTGTGCCTCGATTAGTTTCGCGACAAGGAAGCGCAGATCTCTTACAATCGTTAAGATAATTAATATAGTAACTGATACGACACAGAAACAGGTGGTTGCAAATTATATCTAATCTTGGTAATACTCGGAGAGAGGAGTGATTACACAAATAATAAACATTGAAAAGCTTCCCTATCGCTGATATAGTATTTGTACGTGTATGCGGTACTGTCATAGTAATTACTCGGAATTTTGTATCGATAACAATTGTAGGTACCTATAGATATTATCTTGATACTATACCGCATCGATCCAGTTAATTATAAGGCAAGGGGTTTTTACCATGGAATTTCAGGATAGACGTAAGTGTAATAGATCGCTGTCTCTAACCGATCTAGACATTAGTTAAGATTTGAAAGTTTTATGACTTATATGATGACATGCGAGAAATACTATTATTAGTATTTAAGTACCTTGTAAGGCTTGACGTTTCGACCTGGTTGCACAGGCCGTGGTCGCAAGCAGAAATTACTTTCGCGTTACACGCGCATAATTATATTACTTTAACATGAAACGCGAAAGTTTAAAAGTTAGTATAATATGATGACGATGTTATTAAAGTATTCGAGTTTACAGACAGTTATATGCCCAACTACTGCTGCAGTAATTCACTGCACTACAACGCATGCTAAGTGTGTAAGTGTAATGAAAGGAAGCTCGTAGCCCTGTCGTAGCGACCTCGTAGCCGTGCTAGCAGCTATTGAGGCTGAATGAAGCTTGCACTGTAAACAGAGCAAGAGAAATACTCCTTGAGAGGAAGATGAAGGTACTCTTTTTGTAGTGCGAATTATGTTTTTAGAGTTTACTTAATTTTTATTAAGTACTTTACATTTGTTTTGTAAGAACGAAGTGCTCGTGTATGACAAATTTCATTATTATCTACATTATTATCAACTTCATTGGTGTAGTTTAATTTGAGTGATATTAATCATTATTTTGTTTTCTGTGTTTTTTTATATTTACACTATCCAAAAAATGTATGTATCAGTAGTAATGATTGGAAAACCACTAATTAGCATCAATTGTAACAATTGCATACTATAAAAAATGTAAAATTAATTCCTATCAAATAAATTCAACAAAGAGAGCGAATTTGTTGTGCAAACGTCTGCAAAACATAGCTAAGTTATTGTGTAGGTACATATAATATGAGTCTCATATGGTACTTAAAACCCTGGTCTTGGCACTTTACATGGACAGTAGTCTAGAAAAACCTCGCCAATTAGTAACTTGAGTATGGAGAAAGAAAGAGAGAAAATTAAAATACTGAAGGTAACTAGGTATATAAATAGTTACCTAACTAACTAAGGATGAAAACATGGAAAATGAGTAAAATAATTCCATTTTTGTGTTTTCTAAATAATTCCAATTAGGTTCGACTACTACATTACCTACAACCGAAAGATTTATATGATTTCTGGACGAAAGTGTGTGTTGTGATTCATGTTTTTATTGCAGCAAATATAAAACGTCAAGTAAAGTCAAGAACATTTGCTAAGTACAAATATTAAGTATCACGTCAAATGTACCTATGCATGAAATTAATGCATGTGTTTTTTTTATATTCAATACAGACAACGTTTGAAATAATTGAATATACATTTTTAAGATCCTTAATGTGATCAGTACCTGTTACATTGCAGTTATGGCTCAATAAAACCCAGCAAAAAAGTGTTATAACATTTCTTTTGTACGATAAATATTTGGAAAAGTGAACAGAAAATGTCTTATAAATATTTTAATATTTTGCAAATTAAGACTTTAAATAAATTTGTTATGAAAGTCACTGAACGGCGATTGAGTATGTAGGTATTGTGAACTTATTAGAATAATAACGTAACGACATTTAAATTATTGATGTAATCAAATAACCAATATCAAAACGATGTTTTTATTGTTAGAGTGACATTTTCAGTTTACGTAAAAATATCTTAAGTTCCCAAGTAATGGTAGTAAGTATAGGCCTAAACGCAGCCCCAGCCGTTCGCCAATTTTGACTTTTTATGCCATCTATACATCATGCCGCTATAATACTTAATTAATAAAACAAATGATTAAATGATTTACAGCTGTATAAGTTTCATTTTAAATTATTACTCAATTGGGTATTAGAGGCCAAAGTTCGTGTGGTTCAATAAATAAGGTTATTGTTAACCAAAACCGTTAGCAATAACCTTAATTCAATTTGTAATGAAAAACGTTATTAATGAAATAAATTAATACGTGTAAAAGTAAACAAAATTCAAATCCCGCCTAATGGAAAATGGTAGGACTGCTAAGTATTTTTTTAGGTTTAACTTTTCTGTCTATTAACAATACACATTTTGCCAAACAAAAATCACAATGCACAACACGGATAAATATTTCCCTCAACCCATGCAAATACATACGCAGCTACCACATAGGGGTAACTAGAGACAAGGCACTAGCAGAAAGTGGAGGTCCTGGCCAGAGCCGGCACCAGGCCAGCTCGAGGTTACGACACAACAACTGAACCAATAACACCATAGACTTAGGGCTCATGTTTGCATCACAAGTGGTCACTGGCACATCACAACACTGGTCACTGAGGCGGACATTACCGGCGGGCACGGTGTCTTCCCCCGACTCGTCCACGTCGGAGTCCATGTATTCATTGCGGGGCGCCAGGTTATCCTCACTCGGTACCACCGAACACTAGGGGACGCGGCGCGCCAACACGCACGTTTTTATACTAAGATTCGCGACACCGCGTCACCGCGTCATCGACGTGACGTAGGGATTCGTCAGCGCAATCTGCGCTCGCCGTGACCAGGAAAACGCTTTCTGGGAAGCTGCGCGCGCGACTCGCGCCGAGCACTGCATGCACTGCGCACGCGCCACACTCGCACTGCACCGCGCCGCTGCCGCCGCGCTCCAATATATCGAGGACCTCGCTGCCACCAACTACAGATAAATTGACCAGTGGCTGACTTTTCGCCGATAGTGAGATTACTGTACACAATATTGATAGGCTTACCGTGATAATTTCAGTAATTTGAATAATATAAAAATTAATATCTAAATACGGACATAAGTAAATTATTATTGTCAATAATGTAATGAATATTTCTAATAATTATAATATTAATTAAACTATAATCACATTTTATGATCGGCACCATAGATGGAGCCCTATTGTTATGTGTTATTGCTCCCTAGTTTCGATATTGTCAGTTACTATGCATATTTAAAAATCAACCGTAGCTGTAATTAGCAGTACGAATATATTTTCAGCTATATTTATCCTACTTCTAATTTTAGATTACTATCTAGTCGTAGATATCGGCAGATATGAGTCACTCCACGCAGGCGTCACCCTGTGTAATGGTGATTACAGAGATAGAGCGGCGCGTAACGAAACAATATAATTATTATTTATTTACATCATCAGCTCTGAGACCACTACAACCGAGGCAGACGCGGCATTAACTCAAATATTTGAACCACTAACGTCTCAACAGTTTACACTAGCGACCTCTACATTATCATCTGCATCGTCCGAGTTACGACCTCTGAATTGCTAAAATAACTAGGACAAGTATTCAGCGAATAACTCAAATACCACCAACTGTATACCCACTATTATAAACCTATAACACTACCGTTACCGACCATGTAGAAATTTGACTTTTTCTTATAAACCGCATGCTGTGGATGGCTTGCTGAGCGTAGGTGCTCACGGTAATTCTTTCAAACGCACGTCCTCTCTTGTCGGTCCTTCATTAACATCAAGCAGCAAGCAATCAAGGTGATCACTGTGGGCATAATCGCATAAATTCAGCTTCGACCTTTTGCATTAAAGGCTGACCCTTTAATGCATAAGGTCGAAGCGGAAACTTGCCCAATTTTACTTGGTGTACTCACCGTACACTAAATAAAATAAGTTACTTTCCTAGGTCAAAAATAAATTGTTTTGACTCCACAGAACTATTATTTAATAAAAAAATGTAATTAAAATTTAATTAATTCATTTGACTACTTACATACTTAATGTAAGTGCAGGAATCGAACCTGCGACACGTTGCGCGGCAGCCAGTTTGCGCAGCCACCGCGCCAACCGAGCAGTCACTATACTTATTATGTTTGTATAGGTGGCTACTTTAGTGCTATTTGTTGATACTCAGATATACATGTGCATAGGTTACATTCGTCGGTATGTAATTAAACGATACCTACTCGTTAAAGTAGGAACATAAAATATACGACTTGATTAAGATCCAAAGTTTCAGGAAGCAGCAGGATTTTTTAAAGAGAAAGTTAGTAAGTACTTAGGTACTTTTAGACACTCATGTAATCAAAATAAAGTAAAACCCGAAAGTTTTATCTAAGTAAATACTCGGGGATCGGTGTAAATATTTATATCTTAATAACAAACTTATCTATCTATCTATTAGTCTGTGCTGATTATATACTTACGTGTGTACTTAATTTCTAAAATTGACGAACAACAAGTACCGTATTTTTGTTTCTTATTTTCCTGTCGGATACAACAAGGTTTATTAAATAATGGTGCGTAGAGTACTCAGCAGATAATGTAGATCTACATCACCTTTTTTAATTCGCGATAAAATAATTCAAAGAAATAGATGTCCCGAGCAAATAAATACATGTATTGGCGCACGCTTGGACCCCTGTTTACATTGGACACATTACTTTCATTATGAGTTTCAAGGAATCGAATTGATTTATCACCAGGTTTAGCTGAATTGTCCTTGAAGTAGTACTAGGGTGTTGCTAATCTATGCAGATGTTGTCGTATTGATGGCCCCCGTATTTCAGCTATCTGGGAGCTGCTAGCGCCATTTTATCGAGGACAAAATTTATTGAGAAATATATATTTTATGTTATTATTCCCAGAAATAAATACATCTTAGTAAAAGCACGCAGTAGGTAGGTAACATGTGTATGTTACATATATCCTCTCAAAGCCTTTCCAAAGCTGTATAACGTTGTCAGGCATTATTGTCGTGGCCCCCAATCCCGCCATGCTCTGGCGTATTAAGAATTAGTTTGTTACTAGAATGCAAATTAGATTAACTGAAACTTTTTTAGTTTATATCGTATGTAGTTTACTATTGGGACCCACTAACACGACCGATTCGCTATTTAGGTGCGGTCGCAGGAGCGAAACAACCCAAACATTGTTTAAATTTTGTGAGGCCGTAGAATCACTCCGCTAACGACCGCACCATGGTCCCGTCATACACGCCAATATTAACATTGAAAGTAAGAATAGTGGTTCCATTGCATTCTCACACAATGACCTCTCGAAAATTAATAAACAAAGCGACACTATATTTATTGTCCTTGTTACCACAATCACTAATCAATATAATAATACTCACATCACACATCAAAATATTACTGATGATTATATTGATAACTGGGTGCGGTGATTCATCTGACTAATGTGCTGATAACGGTGATAACGAGACAGGTGTGATTGTGAGCTGAGTGGACGCAATATGTGTCAGTGGCTGCTATCGTATGCAGTTATGTCACACGAACCATTCCACAATATTTTGGATAGAAACATAAATACAATGACTAACCGACTGACTCAGAACTAGTGCTCTCAGTTTAATCTCGCTGAGATTAGAAACACAAAGTCTAGGAGGAAGATTATGTAGCAGACACCCTGCGTCGAGGTATGATCGAGGTGAGCTGCACCAATTCATTTCTGGTGTAGCAGTCCGGAGGTTGAAGCCCCCGCCGGCTTCTCATGCATGTACCTACACGCGGTTAAAATCTGGCACGCACCAATATGAATTCTTCCGAGTTCTATATACTATTCTTAGTTTCTTTAACTACTTAGTTTATTTGTACACCATTGACGAGAGAAAACATTGTGGGTAAATCAGGACTTAATAATGTCTGATTATAAGTTTGAAATCGCTTTACTACCTAAGGCAAGCATGGTGATTACTGTTTAAACCTTCTCCGTGTGGGAAGAGGCTCTCACAGGCACTCAACAGTGGACACTTATTGCAACTCTATAGTGGGTAGAGAGAACAGATTGTTACCTGAAAAAATACATACGTTCAGCCGAAACCTGTAAAATGTATCAAAGGGCAGGTGCTACAAGAGTAGGTAAAGTAATACCATCTGGATGAGGATAATGTTATCGTTAAACACAAAACTGATATAATTTGCGCATATTACAATTACCAGATTAATTATCAACAATAAATACAAGGTAAGTATAAATTCTACGAAGTGAGCCCGAGGTCGATACAGTACTGATGAGCCACAAGTATTTAGGAAAAGTTATCAAGATAAATGTCACTATGTGTATGAGTCACGACATTATTTTTGGTAAATAAGTAAATAGGTACATTTACTTATATAAAAATAAATAAACGATATTGTATCAGATAATGTGGTGAGTATTATGTACTGAGTCACTGCGAGCCGATATACACAAATGTGGTCAGAGTCAGGAGGCGCTAATATAGGTACATAGACTAGGCACAAATCTCAGCTTCGCCCCAGCACATATCACTGTCCCGGTTGACGAAGAAACAGCAGTTAGACACATGTCCCGGATATTCGGTACTTGGACCAACCCAATTATCTAATGGATTTAAGGGGATGACTCTACGAAAATACTACAAAATTCAGTTCAACAGTTCTTACAAGCTTTTTATTAAAATCAATATTTTTACCAACTGAAAACCTTTTTAACGGATTTAACCAAAATTAAGAATGAATAAGTAGTAGTATCTACTTAATTACCAGCTATAGCTGGATCAATTTGAGCTAAGCTTAAACTCAAAACTGTTTAAACTCGAAACAGTTCGACCAAGAGAAGCTATACTTAAAGCGGCACAAAAATATTGGTTATTCAGAAATGAAAATGCCTAAGGATTATTTTCATTACAGAATAGCTCAACTGGCTGCAAAAAAGTTGGGAATCCTCGCAAGGGTTAGACAATACTTCACGCCGGAACAGCTGCTTAAACTTTATCAGGCGCAAGTTCGATCGGTTATGGAGTACTGCTCTCATCTTTGGGACGGATCTGCCCGATACCAACTTGATGCGCTTGAGTCTATTGAGAGGCGAGCCAAGAGGATCATTGGCGATGATGCACTTGTCGAGTCGAGACTTCAAAGTCTTGAGCATCGACGCCGAGTTGCTAGCCTGTCGGTTTTCTACCGGTTGCATTTCGTTGACTGTGCGTCGGAATTACATAATTTAATTCCGTCAGACAGCTAAGGAGTGGAATTCTTTGCCGGAGTCGGTGTTTCCTGATAGTTACAATCTGGGTATCTTTAAGTCAAGAGTGAATAGGTTACTTCTAGGTAAGCGCGCCCCACCGTCGACCGCATCGTCGCTTTCCATCAGGTGAGATAGCGGTCAAGAGCGAACCTGTAATCAATAAAAAAAATCGCCTTACGCACCCATACCATTATAGCAAAACATTGCTATATCTACAAAAAATATTTAGGTATCGAGGTAATAAATGTTTTCATAACATTTTCTTAGCCTCGAAGAAGCTTGGTGCGCTCAATAGATCGAGGCAGTATTTCACCCCGGGGCATCGCCTGCTACACACACAAGGCGCAAGTTTGGCCCCATGTGGAATACCTACTGTTCTCATCTTAAGGCGGGGGCAACGCAGTACCAGCTCCTTCCTTCCATAGCAAAAAAGAAAATACGCAAATTAAAACGCATTACTTATAGTATTCTTTTCTATAGGTTTGTTCATTTATTTACCAATGAAACTAATGCATATAGTTATAATTCTTTTTTTTTATTTTCGTCCTCCTTAATCCTTTCTATTCGAAGTCAAATAAAAAAGATGTAAAATAATAAAAAGAATGTATATCTAAAGTAAGTACTGAAAATGTTGGCGTTATTGTTGCCAATTTTTCATATCGAACGGGTCTTGATGAAAGCTAAAAAAAAAATTTCTTTACTGCAGTTAAAATTAAATCCATTACATCTGCCTATTCCATATTTTAATAAACACAGTAAAGAAGTATAATATTAAATAAAATCTATTTTTTAATAAAAAAAACAATAAATAAAATTAGAAACAATAGCGTCTCCACTAAACGGAACAGAATCAATCCACGTAAACCGAACAACTTAAGTGGTCATGCTAGAGAATGATTTTAAGTTTAGTATAAGTGTCTTTATAAACTGTGTGCATTATAACCCCGGTTTTTGAATACGATTTCATTTGGAAAAAGTTTTAAAGTTGATTTATTAATAAAACATCAATATTTAAAATACAATGATGACAATTATATAATGATAATATTATTACTTAACGAAAATATGAAATTCCATCCTTTTTTGCATCTTAGATGTGTGTGTTTTTGCAGTTTTTTAACGAGCACTGAGGCGTGTTTACCGTCGGAGCATTCGAGTGGTACTAAACAGTATATATTGTATAGTCTATGGTACTAAACTAAAACTACACCGCGATGTTGAGTTTGGTGGACTTTCAGTTGGGACATTTTTTTGCCACCGATTGTGTATCTAGTTCTTTATTAGTGATCGATGGTTTTTATACATCGATTAGGTGATAAAGTATTCTCTTGTCATTTTTTTCTCAGAGACGTATCGTAACTTTTGCGCCACCGGTTGCCGGGGCGAAACTCCGCTGCCGTTACAGATTAGTGCATGGCGCGGCGCGGTCTCTTAGCAGAGTGGACGGTTTGCTCGCCGCACAACCGGACATTAAAGAAATAAAATAAGATTTGTAAAAATATTCAATTAATTTGTTAAAATCTTGATACAGAAATTGGCACCATCAATTTCTGTATCGAGCTAAGAGGTGCGTGTATTGAAAAAAAATATCGTTACCTAATCCGAATCAAACTACTTTAAGTTAAATGTTTTAAGTCTAGCCTATGTACAATGTTTTGTGCATAAAGTAATAAATAAATAATCCAAGTTTTTGCAATGCGGGTAACACTTGCCATATTTTGACACGTCAAAAATACGCCTAGAAACAAATGTCACAATTTGACGTTGGCCCGTTCGAAAACATGGATCAAAAATATAATTGAGCGGTTACAAAAATGAAATTCTTAGCCTGACAAAAAGAAAAAAGTAAAAACTTATAAAAAGAAATAAATTTCGAAGGTTTTGACATGGTCACCACTGTCTAAACAAAAAAAGAAAATTGATAAAAATTAGATATGTATAATTTTTGACAAATGAAATGTCAAACTAACGTTTTGGAACGGTTACAGTGGGTGTTGAATGAATCGAATGTTGATAATTTTGTTATTGATCATTGAAATAAACATTAATTATAGAATTAATATAACGGAATAATGGTAATATATGGTGTTTACATAGTAAGCAAGTCCGGTGGTCTTATTTTCAACTATGACCATAATATTCCACGAGTTGAAGCAGAGAAAACATTCGGTTTTCCATTGGACATCAAATTGCAGTATGAAAATAAGAAAGTTATCGTCGCTTTTGGACAACGAGATGGGATAAACGGTAAGTATTTCAACCTAACAGCTTACTGCATATATAAAGCTTAGTTTACGTTAATGTTGTTCAACTTATAATACAATCAAATGCTATTGTATAATATGAAATTATTGTTAGGCATCTTGATTAGCCGAAGATATGTAAAAAAGCTTTATATTTTACAGTTGGACATATGCTACTGTCGGTCAATGGTACTCCAGTGAATGGGCGCACCACAGAGGATGGAAGAGATGTTTTTGACATCATAGAAACCAAGGTGAGCATCTACATCAATATATTATATATTAAGTTCCTATATCCCCTAGGTGGGGCAAAGGGCTTCCACAGTATTTTTCCATTTGGACCTATCTTGGGCTATGTGCTTAATTTCAGACCAGGACAGTCCTATCCTCCTTATTTCCGCCGCCACTGTGCGCCGCCACATTTGCTTAGGACGGCCAACTTTTCGCCTGCCTTGTGGTGTCCACTCTAGAGCTTGTCTCAATCATATCACATCAATATATTATTCTATTGCATTATTCTTGACGTTCAAGAGTCTTCATTTTAACCCTAACTTTGGAATCTTTTGTGCTTATTCAAATTTAAGCCCTGGATTCCCCGATGTTCTGCTTCACCATAATTATGTAAATGGTATCTTAATAATTTTATAAAATACAATATATTGCTTTATTAAAAGCATATTAGTACTTGCTAGAACTAATACTTGCACTGCTTGGGAAATGGGGAACTTATAGTCCACACCACCACTACTCATCTTGCATACTGGCAATCAAGTGGCGAAATGTGTCTCGAATGTTTGAAGAAACTAACTAACTACCCCTACATACGACAGTGCCGAGTTAGCTACATACTACATAAACATATATGTATTTTTCAGGAAAACTATCCTCTTAGTCTAAAGTTTGGCCGTGCCCGAGCAACCACAAATGAGAAGATAGTACTGGCCAGCATGTTCTACCCATTGTTTGCTCTAGCCAGCCAGTTAAGCCCTGTTCCCAAGTGCTCCGGAATTGAGTCACTAACAGCAGACACATTCAAGCTCTCCTGTTTCCAGACATTAACAGGTAATGATACTTGAAACTGTCTCCAGATTTTACCTTTTTAAAACACTGCCTCATGAGTCTCCTTCTGTATTGTAGGTGCATTTACAAACATACAATTTTACATATGCTTAACACCCAGCCTTGGATAACATAAAAGTTGTTTGGTGTAGGAATTGAACCTGCAACACATGTGTGCCCAGCCACAGCACTAACTGTGCACTCATTCTTTCACAATTAACTAAAAAACTCATCCAACTTTTCTTAATAAATTAAGCCAATTCCAAAAGGTTCTCCAGTGCATATAATGTTCATCTTTTGTGTTTCCAGGAGTGAAGTTCATTATAGTGACAGACCCCTCCATGCAAGGTGCAGAAGTGGTTCTCAAGAGGATCTATGAGCTTTATTCTGACTATGCACTGAAGAACCCTTTCTACTCACTAGAGATGCCCATCCGGTGCGAACTGTTTGATACCTCGCTGCACACACTGCTGGAGCTGGTGGAGAAGTCTGGCACCGCCAACTTATAGTGCCGGGCTTAACTTGAGTTTATTAAGAGAGTCTAATGTTATTATTGATTATTAAAGTGCTAAGTTATTTCTAGTTAGTGTTCGACTCTTGTATTGTGGCTTCTGGCAGGTTATTTATTTGTGAGCTGTTGTAAAATATAGCCAATTACCGATAGAATGTAAGAATATCGTTGATAAATAAGAATTCCATTTACTATTTTTTACAAGATGAGAAGAAAAATGAAAGACAGCATTAGTTTACAATAAAAAATTTATTGATATAATCATTATTTATTTTTAACAATTCAAATGAGAGGCCTAGGCCCCGGGCCGCATCCGCGCGCCCATACAAGTCTATAGATATCATATCGTTAATAACCGAACACTCCAACCTTTGTACTTGTACACACACACTCGCACACTACTGCCGTGGGGAGGGGACGCGCCGCGCAGACGAGGCCGCCAGCGACCCTGACGCAACCCTCGGCCCGCCGCCGCCCCTCTACTCCTCTACGTAAAATACCTTGACTTCCGAAACGATGTCAAAAGCTCATACAGTCCACATCCACGCGGCATGTACCTCAGCGTCGCGTGCGGCTACATACAGGGTAAGGCATTGTGCGAACTACAAAAGCTACAATTAGTACCTCTAAAAATATTGTAAAATCAATCAAAAACAAATATGTTACAAAGCTGATCATAATTTGTCGACGTCGCTTCGCGTCTGCGCGGCAGTCCGGTGCGCCCAGCGCGTTATACTCGCCACTCGGTCGCTACTCACACCGTGTCGGGCTCATCCACTGCAATACACTGCCGACTGGACAAGTATATACACTGCATACATTTCCCAATAAACAATATTAAACTGAACACGCACTAACAAGAAAACCCACATTTACAAATATTTATAGCTCTATACATTGAGTTCACAAAGTACAGCTGCACTAGTGCATCAACCAGGCTTATTTAGCAGTCCTACTATTGGTTGGTGTGAGCTGTTGTATAAAATATAGGCAAATATGGATAGAATGTAAGAATCACTTCCATAAATAAGATTTTCATTTACTTTCTACATTTTTACAAGATGAATAGACAAATAAAAGACAGCGTTGGTTAACAATAAAGTATTTCACAGCCCACCTGTATAGAACGTAACTCGAGCACTCCAATGTTAGCCATGCAATACTTTTTAATGAAATAAAGTTTATGATGGACCCATGAGCGGCGGAGTGTGGTGTCGTGTGTCGAGGAGAGGAGGTGGTGGACTGCAACGAACGTGTCAAGTATAACGGCCTAGTAAAGTATACAACCTCGCGAGAGATTCAGTGGTCGGTATAAAAATAGAGCCGAGAGCGGTCCCGCTACAAAATATACTCTGAGGCTATCGATACACGCCGGCCCGCGCCGCGCTCCCGGGCGGGGCAGGACTAAGTCTTAATTAGTTTATCCGAAGAGACCTAAATAAATTATTATCGTAGATGTGTGGCCGAGCGGCGCGGGAGTGTCTGCTCTCTACTGCCTACGCCTTACTTATCCAACCTTACCATAGTGATACATAAATTTAGAATCCTACCCTACAAATACCAAACGTATTTTCTCATCGCATCAAACCAAGTAATGGAATTTTGCGACCAAACAATATTTTTATCAAATCGAAATAGTTATACATACATAACCCAAATAGTCCTGTCATTTGGTAGGTATGAAATATGAACAAACTAGAAACATTTCTCATGACTAATAAAGATTTGATGTGGTCTTCGCATCATTGCATTGATAGTAAAATAAAGTGAAGAAAATTTCCTAGACTTTCGGCACTAATACTTTATAATCAAGTTTCTGCGTACAAGCGCCGCACTTAGTTCGAGTCTATGTTCTGTGAATACAGGGTATTCATGAACGAACATATATGCAATAGTTTGGTGAAGTATTCGAAACGTAAAGAAAGAAAGAAGGAGATCTTATTGTTAGTAAAGTAAGGTTTGGAATGACATACATTCTTATATCTCTATCAGAATTACTGGGATGACCTGACGGCGCTCGTATGCAGAGGTTGTTGATTATAGAAACACATTAATGTAGTGACGATATTAAAGGAAGTTTGTACCTTCAGAACAAGGTAATAATATTGCCAAAAACCTGCTATGGAGCAGCAACGATACAAGAAAGTTATATTCTGAGAAACGGCAAGCTGAAAACTTTCAGCTACCAAATGACGGGACTGTAACAACACGCTTTACGACATCATAATAGGCAATCATACCTTTAAAATACATATTCATAATTTTCACCGTAACAATAACATCATTCAATAAAACTCAATATGGCTAAAACATATAATTTTGTATGAAATTACTCCAAATCCTAATCCTAGCTTATACTGCGCGCAGTCCCCCGCGCCGCGCCGCGCCGTACAGTCGCCGTGCGCCGGACTACTGGACGAGGCAAGCGCTGGCTCCCCGCGTGCCGGGGCCACGCCGCCGGACAGTCCCGGTCTCAATATATGACTTATTTATATATTCATTATAGAGTAAATTAGTTCCAGCGCACACAGATTACACAATGTCACACTATTTAGATTGAATATCGTCCGTAGGCGACGTGCGCTACTCGTTGTGCCATGGAATATATCCAACACAGGTGTAGGCTAGAGGCCGTCAGCGTCTTCACTGCGCAGAAGAGGGCGGCGCACCGAGGTCGGGGCGCGGGCGGCGGGGCTCCGCCCCCGGCGCGGGTCCGGGCGGCAGGCCGAGCGCCAGCTTGCAGTGCAGGGAGTTGCAGGCCTGCTGGCAGACGACCCCGGGCGGACACCGCGTCCCTGCACAGACGACGTACATGCCGCGGCCACCGCGCGCGCGGGCCCCATAGGGGCAGCCGGGGGCGCTCACCCAGGTGCTAGAGTGATGTGTGCGGGCCCATAGGGGGGCGGAGGGTGCTCACCCAGGTACTAGGAGTGGTGCGTGCGCGGGCCCCACAGGCGCAGCGAGTAGTCGTCGGAGGCCGACACCAGCACGTCGTGGTGCACCGGGTTCCACGCCACGCAGTTCACGCAGCGAGTGTGCCCCGACACCACCGCGATCGGCTCCTCGCCCGCTATGTGCCAGATGTACACCTGCCACACCACGGGAACATTCAATATCAAACCTCAATGGACATGTGAAACTATTGAAATCAACGTATATTTCTACGTAAGTACCTTGTTGTCCTCGCTCCCGGAGGCGATGAAGTCCTGATGCGCTCCGCCGAAGCAGGCGTGGATGGTGAAGTGACCTTGACTCAGGCCGCGGAACCGACGTACCAGCGCACGCGCACCTACACACACACACACACACATACGTTCACTACAGACGTCAATTTAAATAAGCTTGTGCCCTCTTACACTGCACGTTGCCAAAGGTTTAAAGTTTTGTTTTTAATTCATCTTCAGCAAAACGCTTCACCCGCCCTGGGTAGTTGTGACCAAATCACAAATACCAAGTAAATATATAAATAATGTTAGAGAGGCAGGGATATGGCTCGGCAGTGCTACCCATAGGCTGGATTGGTGTTACTGACTGGGACTACTACGGATGATGGGATGGGAGATGTGTTAGCGCTTAGCCTGACCCAGGTGGTCCAAGAGGCCCGATATCGTGCCGAATATCGACCGGTACTCAATGAGACTCTTCACCTCTAAGTGCTCTGACTAATGTCTGGTAAAATCTGTGTCCATACACTCCGCGCTTGCTTCTTACCCAGCTAAGTAAGGCATTTAGTCCCCGGCCAGGGCGATTGATACCAACTTCGGTCGAAACGCTGGTAGCATGTCACTTTCTCTTCGAGGCTAATATGTGAGACATTCGCATCATCAATCATTCTGTTGTTTGCATGTTTGGCCTTTTCTTGGAGACTTGGTCAAGTGCCGAAAGCCTGGATGCTGGCAAACGTACAGCCTGTGCCCAAAGGTAGTCGTGCTAACCCTAACAACTACAGACCTATCTCAGTCACATCCATTCTTTGCAAGAGCATGGAGCGTGTACTGAACACAGGACTTCTACATACCTGGAGACGATCTCCTCAGTGATAGGCAATACAAGTAAGCAGGGAAATATAGTAATACATCAAAGGGTTTGAGAATAAGCAGTAAACATAAAAGGTTCCTAAGGTACAAGTATTATAATGATAAGTCAGTCAGTAATAAAAATTATACAAAAAGTACTCCAAAATATTAAAAACTTGTGCCTCCTCCTCGATTAAAAATAGAAACAAAAGAATACTTGATATATCGAAAAAGAATTATGAAACTGCTTGGTCACTTATAAAACAGGAATCGGATGGTTATGTAATACACAATCGATAACAACATTAAATGTAAACAATGTTTTCTTATCTAGTCTTGACAAAACAGTTAACTCATTTTATAATCATTGGATAGACCAAACAAATACGTACAATGATGAACTACGTCTTACGTTGACAGACAAGCTACCCACCACTTTATTCCTTAGACCTTGCGACTGCGATGAAATACAAAAGTTGCTACATTCTTTAAATAATACACAATCTGTTGGTTATGATGAAATCTCAAAACAGATTCTTAAGATGTGTTCATTAGAATTAGCACCAGTGCTAACTCACTTAGTAAATTTATCATTCGTAGAAGGACGCTTTCCTACCCGCCTAAAAAAGGTGATTGTTAAGCCTGCGTTTAAAAAGGGAGATAGTTCTAAAATTGGTAGCGACAGGCAAATCGGCCTTATACTTACCCATAATTTCAAAACTTTTTGAGAAGGCTATGCATAAACGGATACCTATCTTTTTGGAGAAACATAATATCCTCAAGAAAGAACAATATTTCAAAAACTTAAATCAACTACTTTGGCTTGTTTTAATTTAATAAAAACTATAGTTAATTAATTAAATTGATGTCAGGAAAAGAGTATAATATTTTTCGATATGTCAAAAGCGTTCGATTTTGTTTCGCATAAACTATAAATTGCTACCCAAACTTAAGCGTTATGGCATTCGTTGTCAGGCACTACAGTGGTTGGAATCATATTTAGTTGATAGACTACAGAGCGTTGAAATATCTAAAATTGATAATAAAAAAGAGCTGAATTATTTAGAATCTTATTACAAACGCAATAATGGTGTACCCCAGGGAAGCATTTTAGGGCCTCTGCTATTTCTACTTTATATTAGTTATTTTGACATCTTCATTTAAATCTGACATAAACGAATATATTAATGACATAAATACTTCAATTAGTGATATAATAAACTGGCTAAAACTTAATAATTTAAAAGTTAATATTAATAATACAAAAATAATTCAATTAACAATTCAATAATCATACAAAACAAATTTTCAGAAATTAAATCTTGTTATAATGGGGATTCCTTTTCACAAGCTGAGATGTATTAGACATTTGTAGGAATTGTACTAGACAAACACATTATTGTCCTGGAATGCCCACGTAGAAAAGGTTTGTAACAAATTGAATTTTAAATTTGTTCTCTACAATCTACGAAAAACGTCTTCACAAAGTACAGTTTTGTCTGCTAATCACGGCTACGTTGCTTCGTCGCTTTTGTATAGAATTGTTTTGTGGGGTAATTCAGCAGACGTAAATAGAGCATTGTGGGCACAGAACAAATGTGTGAAGGGCGATCATCGGCATACCTGCGTGGGAATCGTGTAAACCCCTATTCAAAAAATTAATACTTCTAGCTTTGCCTAGTGTGTATATTTTTGAATGTGCCAAATTTGTTAGCCTATTTCAGAAAGCTAGAGATGTTTGTCCGCGTAATACTAGAGATCCAGATATAATAGTGTCATCCAGAATTTGAAGAACAACTTTATATAAAAAAAATATTATATGTGAAGTCAAATATATAACAAAGTACCTAATGACATACAAAAAATGCCAAATCGTTTATTTAAGTCAATTTAAAAAATGGGTTATTTTGACCAATCTTTCTATTCTGTTAAAGAATACATGACTCGTAAGTAACAAATTTTACGGCGGGTGTAAATGTTTGAAACATGAGTAGCTGTAATATCTTTCTCACAGAAATGTTGTTCCGTTCAAGAATCGAACCTGCGATACATTGCATAGCAGCCAGTTGGCCAGCCACTATGGTAATCGTGGTGGTAATATGTAGAGTTTGTGTGTAAGTGTAACACTTACGTATGTCCCATAGATGCACGCCCTGGTTGGCCACGTTCAGCAGTAGCAGAGTGTCGGCCTGGTTCACTGTCATCGCCATCACCGCGTGCTCCTCCTGGATACTGTAACACCATACAGACATGTTTTAATTGTTTTTATATGCACAAATTATTTCGAAGATTTTAAGAGACATATCGTCGTTGGCCCACTTTAATCATTGTGATATGCACAAGTTAAGCTATGAATTTGTTTTGTTAATTTGGATAATTGCGACACAGTTTTATAGTATTGCTTTTGTATAATCGTTTCAAATTGTATTTATTTGTATGTTTTTTCTTGTTACAAATATATTTATTTATTTTCTCTTGGATGTGCTTCGATTGTGTACACGTAAATGTTGAACTTAAGTGTAATGTAAGTGGTCGTGGAGGGTAGAGCAGGACGTGTACTGACAGGTTCCGGTCGGTGAGGTCGGTGAAGTCGTATGCCCGCACGCGGTGGTGCGTGTCGGCGGCGAGCACGGCGCGCGCGTCCCCGCGGCACGACAGCGCGTTCACGCGCACGCCGTCCCAGCTGTTCAGCAGCGTGCCCTGCAACACTAACGCTTGTACCTCCCTGATATATAAATACTCATACTGCTCATTTAACTTAAACCAAACAAACTACATACATACTCCGCTGTACTTTTTAAAAAGCTGTACTGTACAATACACGCGGGTAGCGATAGGTGCTTCATAGCTCTTATTTCATAATAAAGATCGTGGAATACTGACATCGAGGCTGCAGTGGTAGAACTGTCCCCGGGCGCCCCCGCACACGAACTTGTCGGAGGTGGAGTGCCAGGCCACGGCCGTCAGCGAGTCCTCCTGCGAGTGGGTCATCTTCAGGTGCAACTGCTCCGTCTGGGGACACGCGTACACCAATGTAATGTATTATTGGGTCAAACTATGTACATCTACTAACATTTGTGATCCATTATGTGTGTCTCTGAGCTCGACATAATTATGTCACAAATACAGACTTCGGAGATTTCCTATGGAATTTAGTTACTTTTGTATAGTAAGTTGCTTCCGTCAGTTCAGAGGTACCAACTGAAAACCATTGATATTTTCATGCATTTGAATCCTCGCTGAGCTAATTAATACTGAGATGGCAGATCTTTTGGAATAGACGTATTATGGCCACCACTTTTTTAATTTTACACGTAAATAATATTTGCTGCATCGTGGCGTGCTTATTGCCAAATAAAATGAATTTTACTTTTCTCTCTCTTTTTACATTTCTCTCTTTCTAATAATTTTACTTATGGTCTTCAAAACTGAATCTATTCTGAGATTTACCTGAAATATCGCACGTTACCCTTACGGTGGGTGGGTGGAGTGGTCAAGTGTAGCCCATGCGGCCCATTCGGTACAAATGGGCCGGCTCACACCACTGGCTCACAGATTGCTTCTGTGAGTTGTGGTATTGCTTGCGTTGATACCACGCAAGGGCGAAGTTACCGGAGGGCCAATCTTTTATAAAAATGCGGTTTTTACAATTTTATTCGGATTACAATCTAACCTCCATGTTCCATATCCACAGGTCGGGGCAGTCCTCCGGTCCGGCGGCGATGAGGTAGCGACCGTCGGGGCTCCACGCTAGGAACGACACTCCGTACGTGTGGCCCTCCAGGGACTTCCTGAATATTGTCATACAAACAATATTTAATAAACTCACAGGTGGCTAATGATAACATAAACTGTAGAGTAATAATGTATTATGAGCAGTGTCACTTCTAATGATTGGGTGAGGTAATGTCGTGACCACAAGGTATTCCTAAGATAGGGTTATGTTAATAAATATAGGAATAAATGAAATGTTTGTACAGAAATATTATGTTGGAATCATTAGAAGGGTGTTATTAATAATAATACTGCTTGTATAATTTGTGTGGCATGACAGAGGATGTACCTGAAGGTGAGGCGTTTAGCCACGGGGTCGAAGTCCCAGATCATGACAGTGTTGTCCTTGGAGCCAGAGGCGAGGCGCGAGCCATCTGGCGACCACTTGCAGTACCACACCTCGTCGCAGTGCTCGTTCAGCACCTGTTGCCATACAATACTCAGTCATATTGCCGCACAACCAGCTCTGCTGTTGTAATGTAGCTTAGCTTTATCGAATTTTTAACTAGTAGAATAGAGACTGGTGACCTGCAGCGAGTGTATCGGGAAGTGATCGGCCGAGCAGTGATGGTCAGCCAGCAGCGAGAAGGGGATGTTTTCCGGGTTGGCGGAGGGGCGCGGCGCGGCGTGGAAGCGGCAGCGCGAGGCCTGGTGCAGCGTGGCCTGCGAGAGCAGCGCGCGCAGGCGGCCGGGCGCCATCATGAGCGTGGGCGGCAGCACGGCCTGGACGCGCGCGAGCACGGCGGCGCGGGACAGCGCGCCGGCGCCCGCCCAGTGCGCGCGCTGCTGCAGCTCGCGCGCGTCGCCGCACATCATGAGCGCCGACAGCCGGTGCACGCGCGGCGTGTCGTACTGCAGCGGCGTCAGCTCGTTGCGCAGCACGTGCAGCGCGTCCAGCACGCGCCCCGCCTCCAGGTGCTCCAGGTACTTCTGCTCCAGCACCACGAACTTCATCTCCTGCGTGACCGGGGCAGACGCGACACGTTATTATTCTATTACGGTTCGCTCTAGCGGCAGACGTGACAGAGTAAGTAGTAGGGCGCTACGAGGGCGGCCGGGAGGGCCCGGGCGAGTAGTGAACACTTAACAAGTGTGGTGTCACTGACTGCGAGACTGTGCGGGTCGACGTGCGGGGACTCGCGCAGCAGGTCGTGCAGCGCGCGCAGGTCGTGGTCGGCCTTGACCCAGTCGCCGGCCAGCACGTGCTGCCGGAACGTGGCGGCGGCCGGGTGCTCCAGGTGCAGCCCTGATTCCTCCATCAGCAGCGCCGCGCTGCGCCTGCGAGAAGTCACTCCGATTTACATTTGGAACACGCAATAGCGAATCTCTTTTTTTATAGCTAAGAATTTGTAACAAGATAAATAATTCACTTATTGTGATGGTATTCCATTACTGTTTATACAGACTTAATTATTTATAATATTATGTATGATACAAAGCTATACAAAACATTAGCATAAATGACATTAGCACGATGGCACGGGGTTGCGGCAGTTGGTTAATATTTACAACATATTACGTGAGGGAACATGACTTAGCAACAATAATGCAACACTCATAACTGATAGAGCAAACGTCGGATGCCCGTAGGTACTGTGGACGTTGTGACTTAATAGCACATACTACGTAAATGTATAAATAATAACAGAAATACGTGCTAACTGTAGAAGTACTACAGCATGTACGCGGAATTATTCTTATCGAACTTCTTAAATTGACATCTTTGTACTGTGGTATAATAATTATAGTATCTAGCATGTCACATACCGACAGTTATGTACAGTTAATCAGAGAGTTGTTCTTACGGTTAATTGGTTAATACTTCATTATTATGTATTTTATTGTGGCAGTTAGAATAATTTTATAACGAAATGTGTATTCGACGCCTTTTGTTAGATGTTAGATTTGGTGCATACCTACACGCGACTTTTTTTGATGGCGGAAAACCGCCATGTTTATTCTCTCGAGAGAAAGTGCAAAGTAGAAACCATCCCATTTCTTATGCTAATCCAGGCCGAAACGACGATTATTTATTGTGCTTGAATCGGAACTGAACTGTAGCTGAACATTAGCTCTGTGGTGCTCATTGAGGCGCGCACGAAACGCTACTACGTTTAGGTCTGGTTCTAGTCGACCTGCACTCAGGCCGGACTGACACTACCCTGACTACACTGCTCTGCTCAACCCAAACAGGTCATACCGCCACTGTATGCTCCACCTTGTCCTCCTGGTGGCCTTCACAGTGACAATTCACGCCGCACGGGTTTTCATAGAAACTTTCAAATCAAATATCATGGAAACTACTGAACCGATCCGAATGAAACTAGGTCTAAGAACTTAATTAGGTATGTTTTTAAATATTCTTTAATAATAAATTGGATTTTCTTGACCATCTAAACTTTTTTTTGGAAATGCACTGTATAAGTACAGTACATTTCCAAAATAAAGTTAAAAGGTTAAGTAAAAAGGTTTGTAGACCTGTACATACTCTAAACCCTTTACTTGTTTTTCCTGAGATTCCCCTGGGGGCCACATTGTTAACTTCGTATGTGGGACTATTTTTGTCACAGTTAAATGTGTTGCAAAGAATTGAAAATAAAAACCTTATACATAGGTTGTGGGGTTTTGGATTCAAACCCGATTCAGTGCAGGTCATTGTGTATTTTCATTAGTTAAAATTACTGACAATTGTGTCACTATCCCGGCTGACCTGAGTCTTGCCTTGCCTTGCCTGAGCCTTGTAGGACCCAGCCTGTGGTGGTCTATTAGTTCTATGAAGCGCGTGCGAAATGCGACGCGATATACGTACGGGTCTGGTTCTGATCTGGTGGCGGGCTACTCTTGGTCGCCGAACGCAGACCCGCGCTTACGGGTAGCGGATTTTAATAAAGATGCTTCCTCTTTTATTTCATGTATAATTTACAATAAATATTTTGGTATAGGTAATGTAGGTTGGTATTGGATATTATGCAACTTGTCAAATTATTAAATTAAATACATACAGATTTTACTTTCATTTGAAATATTTCTATTAATTATATTTAAGAAAAAATAATAATTATATTAATATACTACTTATTGAATGAAAACTAACACTAAAGTGTTCTTCATGTTACAAATAAATATATATATATTAGAAGTAGTTTTTTAAATGTGATGAATTTGTATAAAGTATGACAACAAACCCTTTTCATTGGCCATGTTACAAGCATGCTCAGTAACACAATCTTGTGTAAAAAATAAACATGACTGAACCTACACAAATAGGTAGAAGGAAATCCTTAACAAAAACGAACAGATAAATGAGTTACCAGTAAATTAATTAAAATAAGTGCAACTACATGTTTTGCTCAAAGATAAGCTCTTTGAGATAAGCGGGGGGGCAGAATATCCAAATTCTTGAGAATCCAGTTAACAAGACTGTAGGTATGGTTTATCAAAGTGCAGTAAGAGATACCTAGTAACTACATAAATATAGGTAACTGATAACATGATAAGTGAGTGGCTATGCAAGGAGGAATTATTACCACAAATGACACTTTAATGCAATTTATACAATGTATTGTGCCTACATTAGTAATACTACAAGATGTCTGCAGTAGTGCAGTGTGTAAGTTACCCACTTCATGTCAGCTTCACAACTTAAAGTAATGAGGTTCATTACATGACTCATTAATAATTAACAAACAAGTCATTAAACCTATTGTTGATTTACACAATTAGAGCCATTTTTTCTAATTCTAATCTTATCTAACTCTAATGACTTCTGAGTTTCATTGTAAAACTATATACATCCTATTATTATGTTACTGATATCAATACCATTTTGTTTACTTAGATAACTACAGTAAAAATCATAAAATTATAGCATATATGTATAGTAAAGAGAACAAAGCAATACACTAGTTTAAGGAAAACTATTTGGCTGCAAATGGCAAATGGGAATGAAAAAAGACTTTGTTTACAAGCAACTACTACTACTACACATGTGTTGTTAACTACAGACTAAACTAATAATTCATTATCATTACTACAATAATGACTCGGCAAAAATATATACCTACTGATTTTAAAGTTATTGTTAAATGTTTCTGAGCTATCATAGGTTTGATTGCACAGTAACACATGAACAAAGGAAATGATCATTCATAGAAATATGGAAATGGAATTTCTTTGTTTAATGCTAAACTAAAATGCTTTCAAAATGTGCATTTTCATTGTTGTTTACTGAATTGCACATGGCATGGTGTGCCTGCTAGGTGAGACAACAGGAGGCTGCTTGACTATCTTGAGTGTAGTAGCACTACAGCCATTACTTTTCCAACTAAATCCTGGCAGCTCACAATACACTTGTGATGGTATATAATATAAAATATGAGTGTTGAAGCCAATGTAAACAAAAATGTTTTGAATAACAAAATACAGCTGTAGTGTGTCTGATGCACACCATAAGCATAAAGATGAAGAGTGCTCGCTCAGCTATACTCACTCAAGCCCAATAGAGAGGAGGTGCTGGCCTATAAGGCGCACGATCTCCTGGTCCGTCTGGCTCATACGGAGGCCAGGAGGCTGCAGGTCGCCATTGCGTGTCGCAGTGTCGCCGTTGACATGCGGCGGCGGCGGTGCGCCGTTGGTACAGGGCTGATGCATGTCTGCGGGCCGGGCGGGCGGCGACAGCCTGCGGGTCCGCTTGCGCGGCGGCCGGTGCCCAGCGCCCTCGTCGCCCGAGTCAGTGGAGGCCAGGCTGGCCCGCTCCGCTGCGCCCGCACGCCGCGCTCGTCGGAGCGCCGAGATCACGAGCGCGCCCGCCGCATCGGCCTCGACGCCTTGGCCGAGTGACGTCACGGCCGCCCGATACGCACCACCCGCGCTCAATAGACCATCTCCCTTTGTTCGTCGCTGCGAAACTCTCGGTCCTGGCCTGCTGCGTCGCACTACTCTCACAACAGAAATACTTTGCACGCGACTACAACCGAGGAACGTGTAACGTTTCAAAAGGTTTCGATAGCTGTTTGAGTTTGCAGCGTCCGCGATGCGTACACAAAAATCAGCTGAAAATGATACGACAGCTGTCTTTCTTCGCTAATGCAACATCGCCCTTGTTTCCGTTTCGGATGACGTTCGTGTCTTGTTCGGTTGCGCATCGGGCGAAATCGTGTTATAATGTAATGACCTCAAAAATAAAATTACCCGTGCTACAAAAATGGTGCAAACACATAAATGCACCTTATAATGATATTATTTAAACTAATTTTGATTAGTTTTCATTCAAATTGTATGTGATGTTTACATACAAGGTAATTTAATCTCATTGTAACAACTATGGACAAGTTACCTTTTTCTATAAAAATAATACTAAAGCTTAAAAAACATAATCGACATTGAAATGGTTAAAAAGTCCAAACATAAAATCATAAATTGGTTTTAAGTTCCATGATTTTGAACATAATTATTCAACAAACATATTTCTAAGAAACTGCATGAATTGGAACGAATTAATGTTTGTATGCAGTTGTGGTATTGCAAGTATGTTTACATAACATATTTTTGTTATTTACTTCAAGAGATCAGATTACATACTATGTTTCGAAAATCAGATAACGTAATATTAAAATAATAGCACTAAATATATAAAAAATACAAAAATATCATAGGTACGTCAATTCTTTTTTATTTTAAGAAAGCGTTATTTACAGGCGTCGTCGTTGTCTTTATTTTGTAGCAAAATTTTGTATCAATAAGATCTAAACACTTCTACAAGTTGTCGTGTAATTTTGAAAATATTTTTATAATCCTATCGACATTTTTAATCTAAATTAAGAAAATATTTTCACAATACAAATTGTTTCAATTTTTATTTATTTCTAAACGTTTATTTTATAGTCAAGTCACATTAAAACGAACTGTCATAATGTCATGCAATGTCAAATTGTCAATACAAAATAGAAATTACCAAACAAATCAGTGGAGTTGGATCTTGCAAAAACTAAGATGAAGTTTTTATTTTTAAAACTAATGTTATTATATTTAGCAGTAAAACCATCTAATTTGCAACTCCTTATTAATGTTAGAAACCAGGTGAACAGCTAATTTACTTAATTTATCTTAGTAATTTGCATCTCTTAAAAATCATTCTCAACTAAGTGTAACTGTTGATTATTTCTATGTTTAATAGATTTAAATGACTTATTTGCTAATTATGTGCGCTCTGGCACTCAATTACATTATTTTCACGTAGTTGTATTGATATTATATTATGTGGAAAGACTGTAATGTAACAGTTTCATGGACGTTGTCCAGGGTGGCGACGTTATGCAGGAGAACATAACTGCGAATGTATCGGAAGATACCATCACCCTGGAGTTTATGCGTCTGGACGGCGTGTTCGTGTCACAGCTGGTTGACTTCACTAATGTAAGTGTAGTCATGTAAATAATTAAGATCACCAATTCCTCTGTTATAGTGAGTTATAACTAAAAAGATAAATACATATGTGCGTGTTATCAGGAAATAATCTGTGGCACTAATACTATTATTTTTGTTATGGAGGTAATAGTAATTTGTTAGTGTTAATCACAAGTTTTAATTAATGGAAATTGAGATAAGATAAAATAAAGTATGTATTTGTAAATAGTGAATATTCAAAACATATCAAAGTGTATTACAATTACTAAAATATGTTATGGGTTTTAAGTAATAAGTGATGTTTTAGGAAGTAGAGGCTATGAAGCTTATAATTCCTGGTGAAGAAGAACTAGGACAAACTGGGCATCAGACACTTTGCTTCCTGACTCATGCTGCTCAGGCCGACTTCATAGCTCCAGATGCAATGGCCAAGTTGAGACAGGTGTGTATTAATCTACTTACCACCAATCAGCCTGTATCAAACTTTTCTGAAGTGCTCATCAACTATAATACCATCATTTGCATTTCTGAAGCAATTGAGTCTATTATTGCATATTTTGTAACTATACACACATATTTACAAAAACTTTTGAAGAATTTAATTAATGTTTTATTTATTTATTTTTCAAAAACTTATTCTATCTTTACACGGTTTTCCCTAATGCGAATTATTTCGCTTGTAGCATAATATATACAGTAATAACCTTGTGTATTCGCCCAAAGAATGTGTTTACACCAGACCAAGTGTAATATGAGTGAGATTTACATTGTAGTCCACATACTGCTGTCTGCCCTGCATGTAACTGGTAAAAAACTGCAATAGATGTAGTGTACATCCAACCTCAGCTAGCTTCCGTAACAAGATGTCATTGTCAATGGTGTCAAAGGCTTTACTAAAGTCAAAATAAGGTATATCTACCTGCAAACCAGCATCTACCGCCGGTACCATGCACGTGACTTTGCATACAGCGCTGAATGGTAGACTCGAACACCTTTGCTGGTGTCGACAAAATCGTCACCAGCCTTTTTTTTGTATTGCGTTGGAAAATCCCCATGGAGGCCCACCGCCTTCGGGGAAGGGCGAAGGGTACTATCAGACTCTTACTGACTAAAAACCATCCTGGTGTTCCACCCATGTGTCGTAGGGGCGGGTATTGCCGAAGCATTCGTCGCATTTCCCTGACGGGTATTGGTTTGCTAGATAGTCAGGCGGGCCCCGTCACCCACTGCGGCCGTCACCCCGACCGCAGGACTTTACTGAGAGGTGCGCGCGGAACACGACGCCGCCGAGGGTTCGGCGGCTTCATCTAGTTTTTAACCCCCGACGGGAAAAGAGGGTGTTTTTACATATAATTTTGCAGTGTAAAAAGTGCTGTTTTATGGCCTATTTACAAAATTAATGCATTGTTTCATTGAGTGCACTTTTGACGACTAAGTACTGCACTAACGCAAAATAAGTCCTTCCTCGTCTGACAGATACTGACCGTCCTTTATAAAGCTCTGTCTTTTTGTGGAATCTTTCTGCAGTCGACGTTGAATCCTATTTTCATGTTGTTTTTGTGAAATTTCTATAGATTTCTTAACATGTGCCTCAATTGTGAATATTTGACATAATCACTACTTAATTTCGTAGTTTGATATTTTCTATGCAGCCTTGCTTTAATTTTCAAAAATGCCTAAAAAAATAAGTGATTTTACTTTTTTTGCTATGATGATGTTTTTATTTTTGAATATTTCATTGGATTGAAATGACTAAACCATTTGGTTCTGTAGAAAAACCCAGGCACAATTCGAGTAGCAGAGGAAGATAAGGGTTGGAGGCAGACCACGGCTAGTGCCTGGGCCGGGCGCGCCCTGCGCCTGCTGTCTGCTCCAGCGGCCCGGCACTGCGCCGCCGCTAGAGACCGCGTGTACCTTCGGGCTGCTGACCTCGCGCGCTGGGCGCCTCGCCCAGGTTTGTGTTGTTCTTTTTTACATACTTTTAGCACCTGTGTCACTGCTTTCATATAACTTCCTGATAAACTAAGTGACATATAGTTTATCGAAATTACATTCTATATTCTAATTTATCAGCTACCTACATAGAATTTTCTGTATTTCGTAAAATAGGCCCTCACACTAACCATCTATTACATACATACACACCCAAACCATTTGCCCAATTAACTGTGGGCAGATAAAGTTTACAATTTGATACCCACTATAACCTTTATGTATTTATTTATGCTTACAAGTAGACAGTAGAACATAGTGTTTATATACTATTTGGTACAGAGAGCAGAGGCTACAACCAATCCCGATACAATCCTTGCATACATACTTCTTTAGCCTGCATCATGTTCACTATTATATACACTTGTTTTATTGTTATATTTAAGTACTTGATGGGACTAATTCATGGATTTTGCTGTTTATTGTCTAGGGTTAGACCAGTCCTCGTATGCCACAGTTGTGACTCCATTCCCGCCGCACGCGCTCTCGTCTGATACGACAGATGGAAAGTTGGCAGTTGGCGCATGTGTCACAGAGACTGACCGGTCTAAAGAGTGCATTTGTCACATGGAGGTGAGATTATTGAGTGAACCTAAATATGTAATAAGACAGTAAAAAAACACTTAATAATTTTAAAGCAAGTCTTAATACTGACTTGCTCAAAAATTTAAGTAACATGAAAAACAGCCAAATATTTTAAATCTGAAATCTAGACATATGTAGTTTTTTGATGTGTAAATATGCTGTTTTATGGCCTGTTCACAACTATAACTTTCTTGCAGTTAGTTAAAAATATTTGAATTCACTCCAAATTAAAATGAAGCCCCTAAGGTATTGTGATGTATTTTCTGCTACCTACACAAACCATCAAGAAATGTTCATTGAATTAATGAAGGAATAACTAAATGCCTAAATGAATAATTTGTAAATGCTGATACTAATATTAACAGGTGTGTGTGAACTGGTACCCATGTGGCCTGAAGTACTGCAAGGGCAAGCCTCAAGGAGGGTTAAGCTACCGCTGTGGTATCAAGACATGTCACAGATGTTACCGGTACCACTTCTACGTGAAGCAGCGTGATACCTGCCTCAGCTACACGTGACGGCGCGAACACCGGCCGCAACGCCGCCGCGCACTCTGCCAAACTTGTCTAGTCCTCATGTTCATAGCTTTCACAATAATATATTCTGATAAAGACTGTTCTTATACCAGTGAAATGATCATTCATCCATTCTTGTAAATATTTTGCTACAAACTAAATATTAATACTTAATTATGTTGTAAGAAATACACTTTTGGATACTATTTGATAACATGTTTTATTTTTCTCTCAAGTAAAATGCAACTATTAATAAACAACACATTTCAGAAACAAGGTCTAGAACTCTAGATGTGACTTTTTTATAAGTGAGGTAAAATGCACACTTCTCTATTCTCCTCAGAATGAAACACGCAGTTGTTGTTGTTACAATAAATAAATAATAGACTGCTAACAATATTATTTGCTACCTACTAAAAAGTTTGTTTGTTCTTATCCACTACTATAATAGTAGTATCTCCCTTTGGATAAATGTGGACATTTTCTCAACTGTTAACAAAAACATTACGAATGTCTAAGAGCAGCCAGGGAAGGGTTCATGTCTGTTCTTCCTGAGTACAAACTGTATTTTTCTCTCCATATCTTCATTGTATATAGCCTTACAACGCTCATGGTTCACTCTTCTTCTGGTCTGAAATGTAAAAACAATTGTATTAACACTGGTGCGGCAAATATTCTCAAACTAGTTTACAGCCTTTTTGGTAGTGTTTTGGACACTACCATTCTATTTGAAAACATGTATTTAAAAACAAACAGTAAATATGAATAATAGGTCCACTTTATCTAACTACAGACTTAAGAAATTTCCAATAGTAGGTACCTGATATGGTTTTTCATAATATCTGGTCAGTCTGTACTGTTCGAGTATGCCTTCCTTACCAAGGATTCTGTTTACCAGCCGACAGGCGTCGTCTACATTATTGTTTTTCACGAAAACAGTACGTGCAATGAACGAAGGGTGTCGATTCGATAATAATCTTAGAGTTAAAAACATCTTGTATAAGAACCCACTATATTCGATTTGGATCTGAAAACTGAGAACCAACTGACTATAAAGTACAGACTGAATTAAGGTTATTTTTAATGTCAGTGTCAGTCTGATGAAATGTGACACTGACAGAAAGGAATTTAAAGTTTACGAAGGCAGCCGCATAAAGTCAGATATTGTACGTTCGTTAAGCGCTTATTTTTGTGACATTGATTATAAACTTAGATAAATCATAGTAGACACAGCAACATTTGTACTGTTGTACTTGTAACATTCTATAGGTATTTAAATTTATCTGGTACCAAGCTAGCAAAAGTTTGGTGAATAGCTATTCATCATCATCAGCCATTAATCACCACGCTTGCTCAAGGTGGGTTGGCGATTTAAAACTTATAATTAGAAATTATAGGTCCAGGTTTCCTCACGATGTTTTACTTCACCGTATGTCAGTGGTATTGGTGTCTAAATAATCTTAGAAAGTAAATATGGGTACTAGCTAGGTTTCGAACCCGCACCCTCATGCATGCGAAGTGGGCGCCTTAACCTCCGGGCCACCGCGACGCAAATATAAGTAAAAATAAATATGTATATAAATATAAATGAAAATAATTTGCTTTAAAAGTTGCCATGACCCGTGAAAAACTTGGCTACACAATGATCCACCTCCAACTATGTCTTCTCCAGCCGCTCTTGTACGGATGGAAAAAACTGATATTTGATGTTTTTTATGGTATAGTTCGGCAAACGAGCTGACGGATTACCTGATGGTAAGCAATCAGTGGCTTAAACAATCTTGCGATTTTATAACCATCGCGTCACGTTTGTCAAGCATTATAATACATAGCAGCACATCGCTGCGCTTAAGATCGAGGGGTGGGAAGTAATCCTACGAGAACGGGTATCTAAGGCCTCTGTGTTTGCATGATTTAATATGACTCCTAAGCAAATTTGCAGAGTTTAGCTGATAATTCTAAATGTTGTAGTACAAAGTATGTTGGTAAAAAAGTCTCAAACTCCTGGGAAACAATTGAATGGAGGAATATTGACCTTTAAAAAAAATCAGAATAATTTAACTTTATATTAAAATAAAAATTATATTTTTTACTAAATCGTTTCCTATCAGTTTAATCCTGTATTATTTTCCACGTAGCCTTTATCTTATTAACTGATGATTTTATTTTTAATGATAAGGCGCTTCGCGGTTTCGTCGGGTTTTTCATTCTTTCCGGACTCCTTAGCTTCCAGACTACTGCCTTGAGTCAGGAAGGGAGGAAGGCCTGGAGGGGACCCAATACATTGGCTCGCACGTGCGCCATGCTTGATCGGGGGCTAAGCCTCGTCACAGACAGAGACCGTCAACGTTGTCGCCCTCGTGGCAGCGGATATACCTCAGAGAAAACCGAGAAACGAAGAAACGTTATGATTAAAGCCTATGTTTTAGGAGGAGAAGCAATAAATGCATTTTTGTCTGATTGAAGATATTGTAACTTTTTTCAGTTTCGCTGTCAAAGTGCTACAGAGGCGGGAACGTATCCATACATTTTTGACACTTTTTTAGCAATTAAAAAATTCTGACATTTGTAAAAATATTTACGTTTTTTATGGCAAAATATTATAATATACATATATTTTTTACATTTTATTTTACTTTGATACAATTTTACTTTTATATTGTAATATTTTAAGAGTTTTGCTCGTTTATTGTACTAAGGCAATGGCAAATGAGGATGATGTTAAGATTGCTTTATCCGAATCTACAAAGTCCGGAAGTTCAGTAACTGGGCTTGCATATGCAACAGTACCCCGGTATCGTAATGTATCCCTGCACGAACGCTGCAGCATGTTGGATATGATGCATTTGAAAAGTGCCTTTGATTCAGCTAACAGACATAAAATGAGAGCAGGAGAGTTCAGAGAGTTACTAAAAACAAGGTTGAGTGTCGAGTACGACGACGACGAGTATAATTTACTATTTTTAAAGGTACATTTATGTTATTTCGGTTAGGCTTCGTTTTATCTCAGCATTGTAGCAATAAGTATAATAGCCAAAAAATATATCATGCGACGAATTATTCATAAAAATTGCTAGAAAATAACTCCTTTTAGGTTAGACTCTCATCAAATGAAGTGCGAGTGTACCCCGTTACTACTTCTGCCCTAGTGGGGATATGATAATGGGCCTATGCCTCCGACAGGACAGAATGGCCCCCTGGATATTTGGGATGCTGAGTAATAAACTATTATAATTAACAGAAGTTCCTTTCTCGACTTTTAGGACTAGCTAGGAAAAATAATCGAAATTTTCAAAATTTTCAAACGTGGTAGTGACATTATCGTACCTGTCGTCTCTTACTCCTATTAGATAAACACGAGTCGTACGGGGGAGATCGATTGGGACGAGCTGGTGTCACACCTGCTCCTCGGCTACAACTTCGCGAATGACGCAGAGAAGCAGCGACAGGCCTTGCAGCCGCCCATTATGGGACTGCCGGTCATCATGCGCTCGGAGCACAGGCACCCAATATCTAGGATATGCTTTTGCCCTGATGTCGATAAGGTTATTATTGAAATTATAAAGTGCAAAGTGGGCACAAAGTAGAACAAGCCACGCGATATAATTAGAGATGACCTATTGCATGGCAGGATCGCAGCACGGACCCAATGCTGGGCAAGTATATTACGGCGAGCCGTGACGGCATGATCAACTGGTGGTCACTGGATATGAAGCTGCTGAGGACTGGGTTCTCTTCCAGTTGTTAGTAAAAATTATGAATGCAGTTTTTGATTTGGGATTGTATTTAAAAGATTATACGTACATTTGTTACATTAATTATTGAAGCTTTGAACAAAATGCTTCTTGCGATTTTTCTTTCATCTCCAACAGCTCATCTAAAAGTCCGCACGACGTGGGTGACGGACATGGTGTGCATGCCTGACGTGAACATCATCGTCACCAGCTCCACAGAGAGAGACCTGCGCTTCTACGACTGCACCGCTGGGACGTTTATCTTGAAGATAATTATAAATAGTTGGGAGTACATGGCAAGTGAACCTACTTATTTAATTTCGTAGTCTAAGATAACACAACAGTTTAAAGATCTTTTTGGGAACCGTCTTCCCATTATCTATTGTAAGAGAAAGCAAGTCAATTGAGTGTGTTTTAAAACCTAAAAACCCCCGACTTAAATAATTTGCTTGACGTTTATCTCGTCACGTCTAGCCATATTCACGTTACTATAAAACTACAAAACTAGTTGATACTGTTACGTTGAAGAACGTAACGCTACCCATGTAAGCATAAAAATATTAAAAATTGATCCTTAGATCTGCACCATGTACTATTACTTCCACAAAGATGACGTGGAGCAATGCAAGCTCATTTGCGGAGACGTGGGCGGCAACGTCCGCGTGCTGCTCTTCTCAGCACACATGCGCGGGCCCTTCCAGAACGACGCTGGGCGGCCTTTGAAGACGGTGCGACACGTTGACTTGCAGAAGAGGGTAATATTGATTGATTGCAGTTATTTAATACATTCTGCACAAAATGTTAGTGCAAGACAATTTTACAATTTCTTTCGTCGACCTTGGGATAACCGCACACGTACCTACATCCGCAGCCTCATGTTCTCCCGGGGCTGCGCCTGCTCGATCTAGTGCGCTTGCATCCGGATTGGGTGCGCCAGGTGTCATACTATGCACCGCTGCACTGTGTCATGTCGTGTGCTACCTGCTATGACTCACTGCTCTTATGCGACTTGAAGAGCTCGAAGGCATATTACATGTTCAGAGTAGATAAGGTAAACATTGTTCGTTCTAATACTCTTGTTTGTCTTGATTGACAAGGTTCTTCTTGTTAAGTCAGGCTCATGGAAGGAATAGCCATAAAGCCATATAGGTACCAGAAAAGAGGAGACAAAAATATATTCAATGATGTTTAGGGCATTCAATGCTTTGCGTTCGACGAGGAGGCACACTTGTTGGTGACGGGTGGTCCTGACTGCACTGTCCGGGTGTGGAACCCGTTCGTGCCAGCCAAAGCTAACGTGGTGTTGAAGGGACATCACGCTGTTATCACCTGCATAGTTCTACAGAACAAGGGTCGCACCATCTACTCCCTGTCACGTGACAGAACTATTAAAGTGTGGGATCTCCAGAGCCAAGCATGCCGCCAGGTAACCAACCCTAAAATCTGATTTTGTACCCATTCAGTGGTTACTACACATTACATTGCTAGTCTAATTTACTTACAAATGTTTCAAAAGTGAAATGAATAAACTATAAATTGCAGACGTACATTGACATTCCTGCTATCCTCGGCGAGCACACGCCCATATCGGCTGTGTATAACCCTGCTACCCGCGACTTCATCTTGGCCTCTGTAAAGATAGCCATCATAGTGCTGGACGAGCAGCTAAACCCGCTGCACACTGACGGGTTCACGCACGCAAGTGCTGTGTCTAAAGTTCTCTACAACCCGCTGTTTAAAGTCATTATCACTTGTGGCGCAGACAGCATCATCATAAACTGGAATCCAGTAACAGGTATTATATGTAGTATATGTAGAATTTACCTAAGAATAATTAATAATTATTGTGAAAAATTAAGGTTACCTACGTTCAATCTTTATATCTTATTTCAATAAAGTACTTAAACTAAACATGAGAATCTGACTCATATTTTAAGGATAATTATATTTCTGTATTTACCTTAATCCATGTTCATACCGTTTAGGTAAACGCAATGTACTGATCCGCGACGCGCACGTGCGACACATCCACGGCGAGCTGGTCCCGGTCGAGATTACTGCCGCCTGCTTCGACCCTGGCTACCAGTTGCTGCTGACTGGAGCTAGGAACGGCGAGCTCAAGGTTATTGTACAAATCAGGTAGTTTTGTACTACCTGCTTTGACTCGCTCCCCCACGGTGCTCTGAAACTAAACCCGTGGAATCCGAGGGTGTATTCTTTATTTAAAGTAATATTTAAATGCCTGGTGGCTCCACGTATCTTGTGACCAGAAGGCTGGTTTGTGTTTTTGACACAGGTTAAGCAGAAGCAGTTTCGTATATTGCTAGGCAATCGGCTAACGTAAATAAGTATTTTTATTTATATAAAAATATATTATTTATCTTATTTTTATGGTTATGTAATTGTTATCCAATAAATGTTTACAGTAATGGTCAAGTTAACTTATTTCTTTATAAATGTTACTAGGCATCTACTTCACAATTACAATATATCTTCGTTCACACACCGCCCAGGTTTGGAACTTCAATACTGGTTTATCCTTGAGAACAATGTCCATCGAGCACATGCGTGAAGTAACAAACTGCTTCTGGGTGGAAGGCAGGTAAAGTTCAATACATTTTCACATTTTACAATCCGTTCTAAATAAACTAGACGTTGTTTCTCTATCTAGGATTAATGCTAGATGACTGCACTCCCGTTGAGTGCGATTATTTGAACAGAATGATCTTTAAAGTCATCAAAGACAGCACAACCATCTGCTGTTAGTGTTCATTTGGTAGAAACTAAGTTTATGCTGACTTGAGCCACGATACAAATGATGTAAAATAAAAATAAACCTACACAGTTTTCAGTTTACGCTTGTTTCCTTGATCTCTCTAATGCATTGGATCTTGTCCCGTATTATCATACGGATGTTCTGTTCCGTCAGCAGGGGCCATGTGAGATATGCGAACCTTTCGCTGACGCACATGGTTGAACATACATATAATATTTAGAGCCGGTGACAAATGTAGGTAGTAAGGAATTGTTGTCTAACGATTCGGAATAATATGCCAGTCTTATATTATTGCCAGAGTATGTAGGTACACAGGCAGGTCTTAAGGGTCAGTTGCGCATAAAAACCGCTGAATGTGATTCCCGTCAAATACCTACAATAATGTTGTTGGGACTTCTGTGTTTTTGCAGTCCCTACCGGATTATACCCTTTCGATCACGAAGATATCATTGTTATCTGTCATTGTCTTCATTGAATTCGTGACATGGCTTCTGGAAAAAGGGGTTCACCATAAAGAATTGGCTCCGTAGAAAAGGCCTCTTTTGCAAGAATCCGGCCAGTCTTTGTTATCTGTAGTTCTGTTGCCCATATCCGAATTGTCTAGTTTCCTCAGTCAAAAATACATTTATAAACATTTTTCAGTTTCGATTTATAAAACTACTGATACTAAAAAATATTTTTTTAAGATAATTCAAAAGTAAAAGTATGCTATTTGACTTTTATTGGTTTGCCTCAGGATCCTGGCAGTGGGGTGGAACCGCCATGTCATAGAGTTTGACGACACCGGTATGGCTACTACCGGCAAATGCTGGGAGACACGTCATACAGACGATGTGCTAGCTGCTGCAGCAAGACCTCCTATCACGTTGGCTACATCCACCTACAACTCCGAGCTGGTGATGTGGAAAATGGAGACTGGTCAACCATACAGGTACATACGTCCGCGGTGAACTTCGAATAATCGCAAATGTGAAAACTTTCGTCGAATTAAGACGAAACATAATAAAGTAGTAAGAGTTTAAGGTTTTAACCAAGAAAGCAGATTTCTGTACATTATCATAATTTAAAATTTACATTTTATGTGTGCTTGTCTCCAGACAGTTTTCGTGCACGGAACCAAATTTGCGCATCAAGATGGTTTATAACCGCCATGAAACGCCGCTGTGCAGCAAGTCTGACAATAAGTGGTCGAACTTCCGAAAACCCAAGTGAGTACTGTGTGTTTGTGAAGTAAGCATGCGACTGGATGGACAGACATTAGGGTTTATTTGTTTATCGTGGGTACGTTTATAAATAGATAATTTCATGTTCTCGTATGGCATTTCCCTCAGCCGGGGCTGCGGGGTAAGCGCAATGAGGCACCGCGGCCTAGGCCCAGAGCAGAAGAAAGAACGGGGCGGATTTTAGCCAGTAAGAGTCTGACACTCCTTCCCAGGGTTTCCTTCTCCTGCCAAGGGTAGGGCGGGAAAAATCATTTGATGATTAAGTAAAAATATAATAGCATAAAAATGACATTTCTCCGACTTGAAATGACAATTGTCGGATAAGTGTGGGAGAGCCATGATTTGGCACGAATAGGTTGGCTGGGCCGGAGTGATAACCGAGGCCTTACAGAAAACACAGAAAAAGTCGTGAAACTTCTACAGCATTGTGATTTGCCGTTTGAGTGAGATTATCGGAGCCCCAATCCTTCCGCTCCCCCAACCCAATAATCTCCAAAATGTTGCACGTACTCGTAACTCCTCCGTTGTCGGTGTCCATGGGCGGCGCCGATTGCTTACAAACCGGTAATCAGCCTGCTCGTTTACCGTCATATCCCATAAAAAAGGCGTGGCCACATCGTAGCTTTGCTCACAAAAGGAAATGTTTAAGGATTGCATACAATGGTCGAACGTACAACAACGAGTAGGTATACATATTTTGATATCCTCATTTCACCTTGCAGTTAATACCTCACCAAGTGATATGCAACTATCGATCTTATAATCATATAAGATCATATGCATAGACGTTATGCGTCACGGGTAATCACACCTTAAAAATCAAACAGCATGAAAACTACTGAAACTATTTTATTGAAACTTGGTATTCATAGGTAAAAATCTTTTTTTTGGGGTGTTAATTCATCACCATGTCTTCTCTCGCCTTTGCGAGTGGGAGGCTCCAGCTCCAGGCCAGGGCCACGACACATTTTTGTTTTGCAAGTACACCCAGCAAGACCAGCGAGCTTTACATTATTTACCAGCCTAAGTAAACTTGAGAAAAATAATTTCATCTGAATTATGTCACCAGCGCTTGCAGCGCCTCTACAAGCAATTAATATAACTATTTTATGATCAATAAACAATTTTAACTACTTCATATTTCTTCAAGTGGTCGCGCGTGTGGCTGCCCACATCGGGAAACGTTATGATGTGTGTTATAGACTTACAACTATGATATGCGAACACTTAATACAAAAAGCATGTACTGGATGCAGCCGGTGTAAGTATAAAAGTCTAGATTAGGTACTTTGCTTGTACCCTCAGTGCGCTCGTGGGAGGATCTCGTGGAAACGTTCTGCTGACATCTCATGCAATAAAGAAAGCAACAGAGCGTCGAGCTGAGCTGAGCCGAGCAAGACCTGAGATCGTAGCCGAGTCGAGCTGCGCACAGAACAAGCGCCACCTCGCCGTGCACGCCATGATCTTTTTGTGCACACGGCCGCAGCACATGAGCGTGGGTCAGTAAAGTTCTAATTATTTAAAGATACATGGTTCGTGTGTATCCCTCTTCTTCAAACTTGTTTTAACATGCTACAATAAGTTGCTTATTTTTCCTTTTGTTTTCAGAATCAGAAACTTTATAAGCCATTTGATCATAAATGCCGCAAATCGTCCTTCCAAGTACTTCTTATAATCAGTTAATATAGGTATATGGTATGGCGTGGTGTATATGGACCTGGTTTTTTATCATTTTCCAGCTTGTCTCCTATTGGCGCTTGATAATGGTCAAATCCAGTGTTGGTCGGACCACTCGGCGGGTGGCTACCAGGGCTCATTCCAAGTTGTCCACACGCCGGGCGACTACGCAGTGTGTCTGGCCACAGATAAAAACAACGAGTTCCTGTTTGCAGGCACCACATTAGGCTACGTGAAAGTTTGGCTCATGAGCAACTACCTTATTAACGATTTGGTGAGTCTCTTGGATTATGATTTGACAATACTTAAGTGTTATAGATATTTTGAGTGTTGGTTTGGTGTTCATTTGTTAGATACATGTTAACATGCCGCGCCTGCGGTTGATGTTCCCGTTCCTGTGGCGTGACCGCATCGAGGGTCGTGCTAAGCGCTGTGTACGGAACCAGCCAAAGCCACTGCTACTGAATAGCTACCGCGCACACCTGCGCTGTATTACCTCAATCGTATACATCGATGAAGACAAACTTGTATTAACGTAAGCTTAAATATTTTTCATTGAAAGCATAGCAGGTGACCCTAGACGATGTTAACGCTACTACGATACTGCTCTATGTTATGTGTATGATTAATTGTACAGCGGCAGCTCAGACTACAGCGTTCGAGTGTGGCGCTTGTCAGGCGAGTACCTGCAGACACTGGGCAGCTTCCTGCCGTGGACCCTGGAGGTGACGCGGTTCCCGCCTGACGTGAAGAAGGTCGCCAGCTTCACGACGTTCAAGGTGAGCCGGTAGCATCACCAGCTCACAATGTTGATGACGTTGGGGGCAGTGAGTGAGTGCGTGTGATGTCAGTAGGTGTGGCGCAGCGGCTACGTGTCGCGCTATGTGCCGGGGCAGAAGGAGGTAGACAAGCTGCGCGACATCACCGACCACGAGCTCAAGACCAAGACCTACGGCGCGGCACCCGACGAGCCGCTGCTTGGAAATTATTTCTCGCTGCCGCGACGCCCTGACCAATTAGAACCAATCCTACTCAACGATTCATTACCTACGGTGGGTACATGCTAACGACAACGAGATATCGAAGAGACTTTTGATAGATGTGTAGTTATATTTGTATATTGATACTGACAACTTTTAGTTAATAATTATATTATGTTTGATGTGCTGCAGATACCGATCTACGCACACTTGCGCATGGCGTCAACGCAGCCAGTGCGACGTCCACCAACCCCTGAATTGGTTTGCGAACTTCGACTGAAGCAATCCGTGCTGCAATCAAAGAAAGCCCACTTTGATTCAGAAGCACCGCTTCAGAGACAGTCAGCTCATGGACAGGCTACTCAAGGACGGGCTCTGCAGGAACAATCTGCGCAGAGGCAGTCATTGCTGGCAAAAACGCAACATCGCCACCGGCCGCGAGAGGCACGATAATAAGGTCCTCGTGACACGGGGGCCGGTGACACAGCGCAGCGTGACCAGCAAACACCACACGATATCGTGTCACGCCGTTAGAGGCTTTGCTGGTTGCCTCGTTTGTCATGCGAATTGCTTTTAATTTTATTACTACTTTACAAGTTAAAGTTTTGTTGGAATCGTACTTTTTACCTGATTTATAAGTTTATTTGTAAAGATTTTTATACATATATCGGTAATTTTGACGTTCTTTGGATTTCTTCAGGGTTAGAAGAGACTTTCTTGTTTTGTAGAAAATACTCTATTGTTTTTTATTAGGATAAATAAAAATAAAATAGATAAAATATTATTAATATTAATAAAAAAAATAGATAAAATATTATTATTTTACTAATTAAGAAACAAACCTTTATACACATCGTAAAACTTTTTTTATAATTTTACTTTACGTAGAGTATTCTCTATTGTATTATTTTTACAATTTGTCTATGTGGTGTAATAATATATATTCTTATACTTTAATTAATTCGGGTTCGTTTCTTTTTGAAGACATTTTTATACTGATAACGACATCCCAGATCTGTTGCCCTACACTAAAATTTTCTCCTGTGTCATAGGTGCGATTACACACATAAAATTTCACATACACATGACACCCAGACCTGAAACAACAATTTGTGGATCTCACAAAGAATTGTTCCGAGCGGGAATCGAACCCGCGACACGTTGCGTGGCAGCCAGTTGCCCAGACACCGCGCCAACCGTACAGTACGTAATTCATTAAAAGCAATAAAGCTATTTCCCGCTTGGGGTGGGACAATTAAAAGGGAGTGAACAATGAACATGAGCAATGCATTCATGTAAATAGGTCATTGATGAAGCCGAAAGTGTCAGAGGCTCATACTAATTAAAAACCACCGTGTTTCTTCTCTCGCTCCGGGCCCGGGCCGTATCAACTTTATTTGTGGTGGATTATGCTCTAGCTGCAGATTCTCCAGCATCCTCCCCTGTCAACGTGGCCACGATGATGCTGGTAACTTTATTTAAATAACAGAGAGCCACATTATGCACGGATGGGTACAAATGTGTAGCATCTAGTGTTACTATGTTTGCATTATAACAAGCTAGATTTTAGGTATGTGCCGCGCAGAGCCTACAGCCGCGGTATGATAGTAATTTTATTGTATTAATAAAGTGACGCCAAATATTTTTTCTAGAACAAGGAAAGTGAAAAAGAAACTTCCACACAAGGCACAGAATAAAGCTTTTCTGACTATATAGTAAAAGTAATAAGGGTTTTCTTAATACCACTGATGATATTTATTGTAACTTATATTTGCATTGTATTTTATGTTATAGGTATACATATTACACAACAATCGCAACATTGAACGCTTTACACATCAGCGGCGAAGTATAAAACTGATTCGCTCGTTGCTAAACGAAGTGCGTTACAATCTATGCGGAGCAACCTTTTTCAAATACTAAATTTTGTAAGTTTTGACAAAAGTATTGTCAATGTCAATGTGAATTTCAAGATTGTAGTTTCTATGACATTTGTCTTCACTTATATAAATCGTTATTTTATTTTAAGATAATATTTAATTAGTTTTCACAAAAGGATGGAGGGTGATCTAAAATCTAATTTCTCATCGTTCTCTGAGGGTCCCCCCAGTGCGTTGACTTGGCAAACTGGCGTGTTCCGCAACGTCCAGCTGCACGACAAGTGCACTATTCAAGACATGCTCAAGATGAAGGAGGCCTTCAGCGAAGCTTACAACAATCAAATGGTTGCGCAGGAATTCAGGACTGCGCTCAAAACTCTGCTTAATGTGGAGTACGACGACGAGGAATTTAAAATACTTTTCTTAAAAGTAACTACCGTAGTTGAAATGTAGCACGCTGTTCACTAGTACCTACTGAATTTATGCCTGTAGTATGAGTAAGCTCAACAGTTTTCCGATAAGTACTTCGAGTGTAGTTTACTCTATACTTGATGACATACACACAAGTCAATCTTTGTACGTCTTATGATTAGATGAATACCAGTCGGACGGGTAATGTCGACTGGGACGAGCTGGTGTCACACCTGATACTCGGATACTTCGGCAACGACGCAGAGAACCAGCGAGAGTCCTTGCAGCCACCCATCATGGGGCTGCCAGTCATCATGCGCTCGGAGCACAGACACCCAATATCTAGAATATGCTTCTGTCCCGATGTCGATAAGGTTATTATTGCAATATAAACAACCAATAAAACAGTACACGTAATATTATCTTAAGTAAGAATAAAAAACGAACACCTTCCCAAGTTAGGGCTTCCAATCCCGCCTATGTATGGGGATAGATTATGTCAGCCTTTATTAGATAGGCAAAAGTACACAACTAAATCATGAATACTTTTAAAACGTTAAAATTGAATAATAGTTTTGTCAGTAAAGATAGTTAGATAACCTTAGACGCAATGCTCTAGTAGGGCTCACATATAGATCAGTTGTCGAAAAGGTAAAAAAATGAAATTCATCAGATGTAGATAAAGCGCGGCTACTTTATTTCCATGGCATCATGTCATATGTATTCTGATATGGGGGTATGCTGCTGATATTTAGTCTCATTGTTCTGATGAAGAGAGCTATTCGATCAATCGAAATTAAAATAATGACTGTTGACTCTCAATATATTTTTGAAAATGTAATTTATGGACATAAAAACAAAAGTTTATTTAAGAAGTATAGTGAAAAACATAATAACTCGAGAGGAAAAGAAAAATATTGGATACGTAAGATGCACGACAAATGATTTTGACGTAAGCTTTGGTTTGACTTAAAAATACAGTTGTTTTCACGGGACACGGGAAGTCACCAAACCAGTTTACTATTTCTGAAAGAGCATTCAGCATTGATAATAACTGATTTTAGCCGTTAGAATTTGATGAATAGTGAAGTGTCATTAGCAAGTAGCACCATCTCACACTTATCCTTTACAAAGCAAGGCAAGTTATATAGATGCGAAATAAAAACGGGCCGAAAATCGAACCCTGTGGAAAACCCATCATAACGAGGGACGTGGCTGAAATAATTTCATTTATTTTAACTCTCTGCACCCTTTAACTCATGTAAGAAGGCCAAGAGAGGCACCTCTTATTCTGTAGTGGGATAGCTTCCTGATTAATTTATTTTGAAGAACAACGAACGCCTTGGATGAGTCACAAAATATTACCAAAGCGTCAATTGAGTTGTCCCACGCGACATAAATGTGATTAAGGAACATGACATAATACCGTCAACAATTGTTGAACGTCCCTTTGTAAAACAAAACTACTTTGTTTCTTATAACTTATTGCTATAAAATGTACAAAACTACCCCTTAGATCAGTCTTTTTGTAAATTTAAGGTATGAAAGATTTACCTTTAACTTTACAGCTTAGTAGAAACTTTAACTTTACAGCTTATTTAGTTACCACAAAAAAACAAACAATCAAACCCTACGATTTCCTACCACAACAATTATTTATTATAAAGTGTGTGCTAGGCCACCGATGGCAATGATTTCATTGGTCACAGTCTAAACTGACTCCACTGACTCGACTTACGGGATAAACACACCTACAATCCAAGGTCAAGATAAATATGATCTGAGATTACTGTATCATTCAAACAGGAACGAAAAAAGGACCCGATGCAGGGCATGTACCTAACGGCTAGCCGCGACGGCATGATCAACTGGTGGTCACTGGACATGAAGCTGCTGAGGACTGCCTACTCTACGAGTCGTAAATAGATTAATCATACTAGTTGTTGGATATTAATTCTATCAAATACAAGAAACTATATAAACTAAGTGTGGGAGAGCCAAGCTTCGGCACGAATGGGTCGGCTCGACCGGAGTGATACCACGGCCTCACAGAATACCGACGTGGCTACGTGAAACAACCACAGCGTTGTGATTCGCCGTGTGAGTGAGGTTACCGGAGGCCCAATTCTTCCCCTCCCCTGATCCCTCCCAATCCCTAAATCTCCAAAACCCTAATCCCTAAAAGGTCGGCAACGCACTCGTAACTCCTCCGTTGCGGGTGTCCATGGGCGGCGCCGATTGCTTACCATCAGGAAATCCGTCTGCTCGTTTGCCGACCTATGCCATAAAAAAAAACTATTTAATTTCCACATCATACTCCTATTTTACTTCCACACTTTCTAGTATCATGTGCCTACTTGCTATTTATTCCGTACGGATAAAGGTACTGTTGTTTTTTATCACATGGTAGTCATACAATACTAGTCTATTCTTTTCTGTGTAATCAAATATACGGATTCTGTTAATTCTATCCAACAGCTCACCTAAAAGTCCGCACGACGTGGGTGACGGACATGGTGTGCATGCCTGACGTTAACATCATCGTCACCAGCTCCACAGAGAGAGACCTGCGCTTCTACGACTGCATTGCTAAGACTTTCACATTGAAAATTGTCATCACCAGCTGGGATTACATGGTAGCCTTTTGTAGTATATATTACGTTATACACAGTACACAATTACACCCGCTGTTCAACTCATATTGGTGATACATGAGGTCATAGCCTTTACATTTTTCGATAAATGCTGGACTATCCAACAATAAGACAAAGAAATTGACGAATTCCGATTAGTAAATATTCGAATTTTTCTCCTGTGTAGTAGGATTTCACATATACGAATGCATATACTTGATTTACGTATTTAGTTGAGCTATCGCTTTAAAATCCCGGGATACATTGCTTGTACACGCGTGCGGTTCCGCGGCCGGAAGACATGTTAGCATACGAATCACATACATTTATTGTTATAAAATAGCATTCAACTTTGCCTGTCTGTATCTAGCTACTTATTAAAGCACCATTTACAGATCTGCACCATGCATTATCGCTTCAGTCCAGATATTAATGAAAAATGCATGTTGATCTGCGGTGACGTTGGAGGCAACGTACGAGTGCTGCTGTTCTCGCCAGTCCTCCGTGGGCCTTTCAGGAACGAAGCCGGTCGAGCCTTAATATCATTGCGGCACGTAGACCTGCAAAAACGGGTAATTATATTATTTGTTGTTAATCTGCAGTTTAATTATTGGTATATTTTTTTTTGAGACAAGACGGGCGGTTCGGTTCACCTTATTAGCTTATTAACTTTGGATAAAAATCTAATTTTATCCTATGATTGCAGCCAAGGATGCTGCCGGAACTGCGGTTAGTAGATCTAGGTCGTATGCACAGTGAGTGGGTGCGGCAGGTGTCGTACTACGAGTCCCTGCACTGCGTGGTCTCCTGCGCCACTTGCAGCGACTCGCTCCTCCTGTGCGACATATCCGGCTCTAAGACACACTACATGTTTAAGGTAGAAAAGGTCAGTACACCTTCAGTTCGCCGCACGCCCATACTTTGTTACTTTGTAATCCATAAAAGTAGTATGTTAATCAAGTATAAATATATCTTTGTCTCACTCGTTATTTTAAATGAAATACAATTTCATAGGGCATTCAATGTTTCGAGTTTGATGAAGAGTCCCACGTATTGGTGACGGGCGGTCCTGACTGCACGGTCCGGGTATGGAACCCATTCGTGCCAGCCAAAGCTAACGTGGTGTTGATAGGACATCACGCCGCCGTCACCTGCATAGTGCTGCAGAACAAGGGACAGACCATCTACTCGCTGTCCAGAGACAGAACTATCAAAGTGTGGGATATACAAAGTCACTCATGCATTCAGGTAAACCTTTAATGACAAATAAACGCAAGAGAACCGACGTTTACACACAGTTTCAGGCACCTATTCCCTAAGCTATCTTTAATGGCAGCGAACTCGAAGTCGGAGAATTGAATAACATATAGGTATTAGTAGCGGAGACGAACAGACTATAAGTTAATAATATATACATTCGAAATATTTTTGAAAACAAAGTTTATTAATTTTTTTTTAATAACGTGGCCTCACACTAAAGTTTTCTCCTGTGTCATGGGTGCATTTACAAACATACAATTTCACACATCACACCCGGAACAACAATTTGTGGATCACACAAAGAGTTGTTCCGTGCGGGAATCGAACCCGCGACACGCTGCACCGCGCCAACCGTACAGTCGATTTTTTTTTTAACATTATAATAATAAATTATTGGTTTTCTTGCGATATCGGCAAGAATAAGAGGAAGTAAAATAATTAGACTCTTGCTGTCTAAAAACCAGCCCATTCCTTCTCCTGCTTCCGTCCGCTGCGGTAAATTATGCGAGACGGTGATCCTAGTCCAAGGTACCACGTTAGACAAAAAAAATCAATGGGGTGCCTACATAAAGACGCTTTCGGGAAGACTAAGCTTAGCTGTTTTTGCATATAGACAGATTAGACAGCTCACAGACGTGAACACAGCAAGGCTTGGCATTAGTAAAATTATAAAATATTATTGAAACAATGAAACAATGAATTTATTTTTGCAAATAGGCCATAAACGGCACTTTTACTCGTCGCAAATTATATGTGAAAAAGTAGATGAAGCCGGCATTGTTATACATATAAAACGTAACGATGGAGTTTCTTGGTCATTCTTATCCATTCAAATCTTCAATTTGGGACGAGCACCTAGCTTTACGAACGATCAGACTGACAGACTACTGTTATATTTTAAAAAAAGTATCAGTAGTAATTTTATTGTAAATACAAATATATATACACAGTTCCAAGCAGAAGCAGTCCTTATAGCCATGTAACGTGCTTTTTAGCCACATCAGGGAGCTGACTTTAAATCCTATGGTGGTGTTTCTTTAGCGAAACTTCGAGCTATCGCCATTGCTCACAGAGTGGCTCTGAGTATCTCAATCTGGCCAGAGGTTAGGAATCACGTCTCCGTTCTAGTGATGACACGTCTAGCAACGAACATGTAACCACTGATTGAATATCCTGGTCTTTAAGAGCTATCGAGTTATCGATGAGAACATCCTTTATACTTTTGAAATAATGTGTGTGCCTCCAAAAAAATTTATATCTACATACATAAGTACACTTGTCCGCAGACATACATCGACATCCCAGCTGTATTAGGTGAGCGATCACCGATATCTGCGGTGTACAATCCTGCCACCAGGGAGTTCCTCCTAGCTTGTATAAAGATAGCTGTCGTAGTGCTGGACGAGCAGCTTAATCCACTGCACACTGACGGCAATACCCACTCTCGAGCAGTCTCCAAGATCCTGTACAATCCTCTTTTCAAGCTGATTATTTCGTGTGGCATGGACAGCATCATTATCAATTGGAATCCAGTAACAGGTTAGTTAGTAAAAAAATTTACGGTCAAAAAGATCTAAATAAAATAAACAACAAAAACGTAATCAAAAACTAAAAAACGCGTAAAGGTAAACGCAACGTGTTGGTCCGCGACGCGCACGTGCGACACATCCACGGCGAGCTGGTCCCGGTCGAGATTACTGCCGCCTGCTTCGACCCTGGCTACCAGTTGCTGCTGACGGGCGCCAGAAATGGTGAACTTAAGGTTCCGTTATTAATAAATTAACGATTACATACTAGTAACGGAATCTGGCTAAATTATGTAATTATGCACACGTCAAAATTTTGTGATTGCGTAGATATGGAATTTCAACACTGGGATATGCTTGAGAGTCATGACCATCAAGCACATGTGCGAAGTCACCGACTGCTTCTGGGTGGAGGGCAGGTGAGGTACCTTCCTTTCTGTAGTTGTTCTTACAATCAGCACTGTTTAGGTCTTGTAGTATTCATTTAGCAATTTATGTTTTTGTCTAATACTGCCTTGCTTCAATTCAAGTAAAATTAACGTCGATTACGGGCTCTAATATATTATGTATAGGTTACATCCGTGGGTTACATAGTTATGCAAGATAAAAAATGTTTTGGTTTATGTTTGATTCAGGATTCTAGCAGTAGGCTGGAATCGGCACGTTGTAGAATTCGAGGACAGTGGCATGGCAACGCATGGTAAAAGCTGGGAGACACGGCACACGGACGACGTGCTGGCGTCTGCTGTGCGGCCCCCGCTGTCACTGGCTACGGCCAGCTACAACTCCGAGCTGGTGCTGTGGAAGCTGGAGACTGGCCAGCCCTATAGGTGAATGGCATCGGTTGAAATCACTTCACTTTAAAAAACTTTGTGTCAAACCGACGTTTGGACGATACAGATATGAGTGATATGAAAGAATCAATATGCCTCGTCATTTATAGGTACCGCGAATTCCCCAAAAAATGTGAGAGTAGTCAATGGACGACTCCCCGTGCTCAACTCTTTCCGTCCTAATATAATTTAGGTGTCTTCAAGGCTAAAGTGGCTAGGCTCTTAATAAACTAGTGTGCCTTACCATCAACGATTGCGTCACTGCTTACCATCAGGAGGGATCGCAGTCAACCACTAGTTTATAGCAAGTAAAAAAAAAGTCGGCAAACGGGCTGACGGTTTATCTGTTGGCAAGCAATCAGCGGCTACAGTGGACAATGTATATATTTTTTATGGGAAAACCATAAAATTAGTGTTCATCGTTATCATTATCAAATCGCGCTCGCACCCGCAACACCAGCAGAACATCGGCCCTATTGGGCTTTTAGTTTTTAGTCAGTAAAGGTCTGACACTCCCTCCCGCCATGCCTTGGGAGAAGTAATTTAATGATTTTAATATTCTTTGTCATGTAGGCGCTTTTCGTGCACGGAGCCGACCCTGCGCATCAAGATGCACTTCAGCAAACGCGAGTCGCTCAAGCAACCACCTGTACTGAAACCTGATATGAAAGCGAAGAGAACACCTTCACGCAAGATCGGGTGAGTCCGAGTCGAGGTGTATCGGTAGGTACTAATAACTTTACAACTAAATCATTCATTTAGATCTAACCAAGATTGAAAGGACGCTTAGATAGTTTGACATCAAGTTATCAACTCTAACAAGCTTTATATTATTGCTTTTTATAGCAATTTTTTCGCTTTGGTATATAGTACTTTTATATAGCTTTGGTTTCATAATTTGGTAGGTACCTATACAGTTGAACCTCCTACCTATAAGTTAAAGCTTTCGTCAGTGCATCGCTGCAAGGGAAAACCAGTGTTGGAGCCAATTAACACTAAATTGGCAACCATTTTCGCATCGGCTTGTTGTTTGTCACATTGTTTTTTTTCTGTTCTAGCTGTTTTTGCACGTTTTTATCATGTAGTATATCATAGTTAGTATATCATAGTTTTTGTATGTCGTTTAGCTTTATATTCACGACTGTATAATATTTGTTACATCATGATTGCCTCTGAATAAATTCATTTTCTTTCTTTCTTCTTAAATCGATACTTATCTAATACAGTACTTCTCGAGATAGCGTGGACTCCACAGCAGCAATCAAGAAGGCGACAGAACAACGCGTGTCCCTGGTGCCAGCGCTGGGTCGTGCACAGAAGATGCGCCCCCTCGCCGTGCACGCCATGATATTTCTGCAGACACGACCGCAACATGCGCGCGTCGGTGAGTCAATATATTCTCAACTGAATCCAGATGCGCATTCAGATATTTCATAAGAGATAAGTAGTTATGTTAAAATATAAGTAGTCATAAGTATGTACATTTAATATTGCCAACTGTTTTCATTTTATTATTGCAACTTTGTAGCTTCTCTTATGCTCGCTCTGGAAAATGGTCAAATGCAGTGCTGGTCAGACCACTCAGCGGGCGGCTACCAGAGCTCGTTCCAGGCCAACCACTCTCCGGGTGACTACGTGTCCTGCTTGGCCACTGATGTCGCTAATGAGTTCCTCTTCACCGGCACTACACGGGGGTATATCAAAGTATGGCTACTGACCAACTACCTCACAAACACAACGGTCAGTATTCCAACTACCCTTAAGTAGATACTGTTTCTATAATAACCTAATATGACATAGGAGAAAGGCTGTTTGTAACTGACCAAACTATCTGGCAAGAAATGCCTCAGGATTAGGATACTTTGAAGAAAATGATCGATCAATCGTTTCTGTCGGCCTTGGCGCCCTTTTTTATTTTGTCCTCCTTATAAAAAACAATATTTTTAAAACATTTTCAATTATGTTTGTACCGAATTTAACTCAGCGCATTTGCTGTCTTACCTGTGCTATCCCACAACAAAAATTGGAAACCTTACATAATGAAGGAACACATCAACATGCCGCGGCTGCGACTGATGTTCCCGTTCCTGTGGCGTGACCGCATCGAGGGTCGCGCCAAGCGCAGTGTACGCGACCAGCCCGAGCCGCTGCTACTGAACAGCTACCGCGCACACCTGCGCTGTGTTACATCCATAGCTTACATGGACGAACATAAACTTTTCTTCAGGTAAGGATCACAAGAAATACCCAAGTTACTCGTACCATCCTTTTTTTTCTGCTTGAAATACAAGTCGAGACTAAAAACTGTAAAAAGTGAAACAATGTATTATTGTTGTATGATGGTAACTCCTGCAACACAAGGGGAGTTACGAGCGCTTTGCCTGAGATGTATGTATATAACAAATTAGCATGTCAGATATAGCAAGTACTGTTCCATACCAAGTACTAATACTGGGTTATTTTTATACTGTAACTGAAAAGTGATATTACATTGTTCTACGGGAATTCAGAAAAGAAGTGGTTTTTCAATCCCACAGCGGCAGTTCAGACTACAGCGTTCGAGTGTGGCGCTTGTCAGGCGAGTACCTGCAGACACTGGGCAGCTTCCTGCCGTGGACCCTGGAGGTGACGCGGTTCCCGCCTGACGTGAAGAAGGTCGCCAGCTTCACGACGTTCAAGGTGAGCCGGTAGCATCACCAGCTCACAATGTTGATGACGTTGGGGGCAGTGAGTGAGTGCGTGTGATGTCAGTAGGTGTGGCGCAGCGGCTACGTGTCGCGCTATGTGCCGGGGCAGAAGGAGGTGGACAAGCTGCGCGACATCACCGACCACGAGCTCAAGACCAAGACCTACGGCGCGGCACCCGACGAGCCGCTGCTTGGAAATTATTTCTCGCTGCCGCGACGGCCCGATGCGATGGATCGCATCACGCTCGACAGTTCGTTGGCTACCGTCAGTAACTTTGTAACTTTACTCTAAGCTTAGCACAACTCATGGCACTTACCTTAGTTGAAGTACTAATGTAGTGTTTTCTTTAATTTTGAATGCAGATTCCGTTGTACACACACCTTCGCATGGCATCGACCCAACCAGTGAAACGGCCACCTACTCCCGAGCTAGTGCGTGAGACACGGCTACGCCTCGCTAAGACAAAGAGGACCCATTTTGGCTCGAGCATGACTATTCAACCTCAACCGCAGCCGCAGACCTCTGGGACCACACATCAAGCACTATCAGCGGCAGCTGCTGCGCCCTCTAAACCTGAAGAAAAGCGTACTTCCTCGAAGGACACGCAAAGACAAAGCACAAATTAGTTAAACTACAATGAGACAGTATTAGCTCTTAATGCTTACACATTTTATATTAACAGTCCCTGACTCTTGTCTCGTGTTCCTATAAATATAACATTCGACGTAGAGTGCAAGTCAGCTGGGTAAAGCGTTACAAAGAGGAACTACAGCATGCTTCTACTGTTATCACAACTTTCCTGAGATAGAATATCGGTAATAATAAGTAAGTTCTATCGTGAAGGTCTCATTATCGTGTTTTTGCGCTAGTAGGGCACTAAAAGTTCCAAGTTGCTACCTATATCTACTCTAAGATTCTGGAGAGTTGTCGATTCAGTGATTTACCATTGATTCTCAAACTTATATTAACTTGTGTTTTACATACTCAGTATATTCCTATTAATCTCACCAGTATGCTTCCAAAATTTTAATCAATGGTCTTCCTGTCGGTTCCTAATGATAGATAATGGTTAAGGTATTTGGTAAAAGTTAGTCTTCAAATAAAAAGAAAACTTAGACAACCTAAGTGAAATGATTTATAACATTCAAGTAATGGCGAAGTCTAATCTTGACATATTAAATCACTTTAAAGAGTTAAAAACTAAAATGGTTAACTACAAAACTGCTTATTAATATGGTTTCAGGAGCATGGTGTTTCTAAATATATCTCGTAGTTTTTCTTTGGAATATAAGGTAAAAGAGAAGGCAGATCAACCGATGTTAAGTGATCAGCGCCGCCTGTAGTTACACCACAGGAGTAGTAACGTCCGTTGTCGGCTGTTTAAGAAGGAGTAGGTATGCTCTCTTCTTGTTCCGGTTTGGGAACGCCGTCATAGACGGCTCGCTGTTCGCCCGGCCGACAAATTTTCTATGTGAGGCAGTCAGTTTCGCAAAGCGCGTAATTGTCTGTCAGCCATCTATACTGGGGATGAAACTGGTTAGATATTATTGTGACAATATAATATCTTCGAGTCGAGTGTTCGCGATTAGATAACTGGAACAGGATGGCATCTACTAGTTATAAATGATTAAGCTTTAACTTACCACTGACTTCACTCATGGAATTGTGACTCTGTTTTGTTAAAGTTTATGCTGATGGTGAATAAGAGGTTAGAAACACACTTGTGGGGCGTGGCGTGTTGTGTTTTTTTTTTGTGAGGGGAAAATCATCAAATAATTTCGCCCTCCCAGGGTGTCAGGCGGGAGGGAATGTCAGACTTACTTATCAACGACCCCTTTCCTTCCCCTGCTCTGGGCCGAGGCCGCGGTGCCTCATTGCGCTTACCTCGCTTACGCTGGCCCCGTCTGTGGTGGAACTTTTATATTGACTTAAGGTGTACTTACAAGTTTAAGTACCTAAGTACCTATTTATTTACTGTCCATGTCCGTACAATTAATGTATTGTTACTGTCTATATTTATGCACACCAGGTTTTTATTTTTTAACGAGTGTAGATTGTGTTGGATATTGTTTAGTAGGATATATTTCTTATTTTTTATAATGTCTGATAATTGAGTACCTTACACATTATTTTCTCATAGTCATTGTTTATATTTTTATTTCTACTGAATAAACTGAATTTGAAATAAATCTTTCTTTAACTTTTATACACAAAATAAACACTAACAAGAAATATATATATACATATATATATTTTATTAACCTACCTATAGTACCTACTAAATTATATGTAGGTACCTATGTAAGCAGTTCAAAAAAGGCAAATCGTTAATTGCAACTAAACCATACCTATATGTACTTATTATGTTTGAAACATCAAAACAGAGAATAATTAGTAATATTTAGTCCGTCAGCCTGTTCGGCTCAGAACTCGATGCTAGGAGCTTGCAGAATGAATAAGAACGAGCAAGACACATCATCGTGACAGCATTTTATCCTGAATATTATCTGACACTGTGGTACCTAAACTTGAGACAGCGATTGATAAATGTGCGGACCACCATAAAATGCTTTCAGATACCCTAATTCTTGCAAATGGTATTTTATTCGAACAGCTAAGTAATACCTACCTACTATTGCTCACATACTTAACCCTAAATGATTACTAAACCTTAGCTAGGTAATAAATTTGGAAGGTTATATCGTGTAAGCTTATTAAATTATTACATATGTACATTGCTTATTACACAAGTATTTGTAAAGAAAAAATACTTTTGGGACACTCTGACTTCTCTCGCCTAGGGTATCGCAAGAGGGAGTGTCAGCCTCTTACTGACTAAAAACCCGTTCTTACTTCTTCTGCTCTAGGCCGAGGTCGCGGTACCTTGCGCTTGACCCGCAACCCCGGCATAACATCGGACCTGCTGAGCCCCATCTTTTGTGGTGAATTGGCTCTTCGCGCGCGCAACGCTACACGCCGTACGCTCGGGCCTTGTTTTGTTGAACGACTCTTGTTCGCCGACCGCAGACCAGCGCTTACGGTGACCGTATTAGTGATTAATATAATAATAAACAGAGACATGTCTAAACGTATTTATTGCCAAAAAGTAGATTATAGGTACAGGACAATGGGTGTGATGGAGGAGTGTACGCGAGCTCAGTTGGTGGAGTCCCGCTTGAGGCCGCTGAGCACGATGTACGGGGACTGCGTCTCGCGCTGCTTGTCCTGCAGCATCTGCAGAGTGCCCAGCGGGGTGTCCGTCGAACTCATTTTCTTCATTAACTAAAGTTAAAGTACAATCATACAATATATAAATAAAATAATACAAAAAATCATGCATATAAATAATCGAACATATTTTACGACTAGCTTTTCATATGTGGCTTAATTTCTCTGTGTGATAGACAGATCCCTTCGATGCCGTGAACAAATAAATGAACACCCAAGGTATACAGAGCCCTCAGCGAAGCATGTGCGGGTCGCTAGTTTTTAATATGATTCAACGTGTCTGTGACTGAACCGTATCCGTAATTAGACTATTTGCGGACTTACCCCTTCCTGCACGGCTTTCTTGATCCGTTTCTCCTGCTTGTTTTTGCCGGGTCCCTTCCCGTGAAACTTGTGTGAAAGGTACCGGAAGGCCTCCTTGGGACAGAGTGGTCGTCCGTCGTCGTCCACGTACTCCAGCTTGATGTTAGGACGGAAGTTGTTTTTCTCGCGAAAGTCCTGCAGCGGACCCGAGTGGCCACCGCGCTCGCGCCGTCCATACTTGTCATCCTCACTGGGGTACGGGAATATGTTTACTTGTTATTTATTTAATACATGGTAAATCAACGTCTTCTATATAGTAAACAGGTAGTATTCATTTTTATAATTACTAACACAAATAGATACATATACTATATACTATATACATATATACTAATAGTGACAAAAAGTATATGTTTTTTTACAATTTGTGTTTTAGTAAAAAAATATCAAAGGTATAGTTCAAACCTAGATTTGCAATATTGAACAAAATATAGTTTAACATAATCTTACCCATAGGTCTTATCCTCAATGGAGTAGTGCCTAGCGGTAAGCAGATGTTTGGCCGCGGAGGCAGGCTGGGGCGCAGCCCCGGCGCGCTCGAGGTAGCCCTTGCTGAGAGCCAACTGTAGCGCGCCCCATACGCCGGCCCCTAGCCGGGGCTCCGCTTCCAGCCCCACGCAGGACCCTGTACACACACACTATATCAACTCCAATTCTTTTTTCTGTTACTTGATGAAAAAATTAACATTAGAATGACAACCAATTTTATTGCACTTTTTTGGGTTTTAGTTTTAGCCCTCTTGTCATAACGAGCGGATTGCGAGTCTTTTAAGCGAAATATTTGTTTCGCTTCGAAAACACTCGCAATACGTTAGGAGCGCACAACGAACACGCCGCAGTTGTATAGCAAACAACACATAGCACTCTCTAGTAATTATCAACTTAAATAAAGCTTTGCATTTATAACACGTCGTTACAGGCCTCAATCAGTCCCAGCACAAAATTAGGTAGCACAGTGGCTCAGTACCTGCAGCGAGGTCTGCGGGTTTTTCGTTGTCGACATCGACGCGGCTCCATGCGCCCGCGTTACTGTCCGCCTCGGGCTCCGCCTCCATGTCCTCGCGCTCAAAGTCCTGCACAAAATGACAAACACTTATTAGAATGGTAAATTAAGTGTGAAAAAAAGGGCATTATATATGTGTCATTTTTCGAGGGAAAAATCATTAAATAACTTAGGTATCTTTATACCTTAAACGACGAGATTTTTAAGTATGGACTAAGAGTATGTAAATTAATGTTACCATGATCTCGGCGTGGTGGTCTCTGTTTCCAGCCAGCCCGTACGTGGGTATGTCTCCGAGGGTGCGGCAGAACTCCGCGGTGGCGTCCAGTACCATGGTGCTGCACTCCGCCTCCTGAGGATTTTCCTCCTTCACACGCTCTAAGATCTCTTCTACCTGTAGTACGAATTACTGTTATTAGCTTTATTCTAGAACCATCTGTTATAACACTTTGAATGAACTTTGTGTTGGCAGATGTTCGTCATTTTTTGATCACTCAATACTGATCATGAATGTTGGCCTCCGAAATGACTTGAAACTGGTAGAGTTAGCTCGTCAAACAGTTACATGTGTAAAACATAAATAGCAAGGATAATGCGATGTGTGCACATTTAAACGAGATTGTAATAAGCCGAGCACGATAAAGTAAAATAGAAGAGCTGACCTTGGGCAGGTTGTACCGCGCGTCGTGGGCCCGCTCGGCCTGGCGCAGTCGGCGCGCGCGCGCCAGGGCGGCCTGCAGCTCGGTGTCGGGCTCGGCCTCGTCCTCGTCCACCGCCAGCGCCGCCGACAGCTGCTCCGTCTTCACTTCTGTACACGGACACCGCACACTTACTCTGTGACACCTTACTTCACACATACACGAGACCCATGCTTCGGCACGCGGCACAGATCGGTCGAATGGGACGTCACAACCGAAAAATTTTTTTTTAAACACGTTGCTTCACAATATGTCTTTCTCCTGTTTCATGGAACACGGCTTCACAGGAAACGGGCGTAAAACAGCACCCTAACAACGCGCGAGCATAAGCTCTGGTCTTGAAAGTGTCCGTGGGCAGCGCTGACTGCTACCATCAGGTGATACTTTCCGACCATATCCCACAAAACAAATTTAGTCAGATGATAAGATGCAGCGCAATACATACCTGTATCGTCTGTGTCGAGCGGTGCGCTGGCGGCGTCATAGTCCTCCACGTCGATGGGCTCTTGTTTTGGTTTCTTGCGTATCTTTCCCTACACCACAAAAAATCTGTTAATACTATTAGCTTTTAATATGCAGAAATCAAAAATTTGTACTTAAAGCTTGTTCATGTCTATTACAATATTTTTGTTTGGTTGTACCTTTCTCTTGGTCTTCTTGAACTTGGCCTCCAGTTCGTGCTCGTCCATATAGTCGGAAGCTAGCTGCAGGGCTGGCAGCTGTAGGCTCTCCAGCCGTTTGTCCCCACCACCTTGCAGACGCTCCTGTCGCTGTGTCAACAAATAAACTTATATAAGTAATATGCTCATATCCAAGCTCAAACTATTACAGGAATGATAATCAAATAATAGTTTTATATTTTGATATAAACTAACCATCATATCCCTGAACTTCTTGGCTTCGAGCACATCGTCGTCTCCGATGACGAAACCTTTGTTCTTAGCATCCTTCCCCTTGTTGATCTCCTCATCGTACTTGGCGAGCACGGGCCGCTCGTAGCCCAGCGCCGCCGCCTCCAGGTCCGCCTCGTCGTCATACGCGCGGTAACCGGCCTTTGCTTTCTTTGCTTCTAACAGATTCTGGAATTTTATGGACAGGTGAGTATGTTTACTGGTGTCGTGATTTTATAAATTATCATACACTGAAAGTAAGAAAATCGTGAATTACACTAAGTTTCATTATTATTCAGTGGTAATCAAAATCAAAATTGTAAAACACTGATGTTTCTGTGTTTGTTGAGTTAATGTTGATAAATATACAATTTGAAACAACATAACCCAGAACCAGAACAATTTGTTGATCACACAAAAAGTTATTCCGTGCGGAAGTCGAGCCCGTGACATATTTCACAGTCCCCAGCAAAACAAAAGTAAGTGATTTAGTAATGTGCGTTTTAAAACCACATAAGATTAATGAACAAGTCACCTTTTTCGTTCGCTCTTCGTCCACAATGTTCACGTTGACGAGGACATCCTCAGAGTCCTCTGCCAGCACCTCCTTGTCGGCCAGGGTCAGCACAACCTCGCGCTCCTCACTTATCTGCGACGTCACACTCTCCATATGAATAGTCGTTCAGTATTGAACAAAATATAAGTTAATACAACTAGGCAGCAAAGTTGATAATTTTGAAATGCATAATATGAATATTGTAGAAAAAGAAATGTATAAGGAAGAATATGCGGCAGAGATACAGACGGCGTCGATGTCGTGCGCGACCCTGAGGCCGCGGAGCTGGGCGTGCGTGTAGGAGCGCTCGCGCGAGTCGCGCGCGTCCTGCTCCACCAGCGCCGACACCCCGAACACGGCGTCCATCTCGTCCAGCATCGCCGCCTGCGTCGACAATGCATCATTATATAAACTTCCACTCAAACTGTACCTCGCATCCATGGCCAACAGTTGTCATGGTATACTTGCCCTCTTGGCAGCTTCACGCTTCTGTTTGTCGATCTCCCGAGAACGCTTCACCCAGGCAGCCGCGTCGTCATCGTCCGATTCTTCAGCCAGGAGTGTCGTCTGCAGTCTGTAACACAATTGGTACTATAAATATTAAAGAAAGCTTGAATACAACGCATACAACTGTGCAAGTTCTAAGCATTATATTTAAATATCATATTTGACATAGTGATACTGACTTTTGTTCAATCTTCCTCTTCTCCTTGTGTACTTGCAGCTTCTCTCGTATTTTCTCAGATTTTTTCTGTTGTGCGAGGTTAGCTGCCGGCTTGTGGTAAAACTCACCCAAGTCATCTTTTATTTTGCCATCATCTGTAATATAGTAATGTAATTAAACAATGATACTAATATAACCACCTTGGGAAGAAATGAGGGGGACCCGCCCCCCTCCCCCCGATTCTTGAATCCCTACAATGCCGCCAACGCCACTCCCGCAGCTTCTGCATACAATATTTGTGCGGGTGTCGGCGGCAACGATTGCTTACCGTCAGGTAATCTGTATGCTCATTTGCCGGCGCATCATATAGCAAAACACATCTCACTTACCAGGTCTCAGTCAGTACAAGTAAGGAGAATTAATATTTCTTGCCGCGGAAGTACATAAGAGACGAAATAAGTTGTCCGCCGATATTTAACAAAGATGGTGGCTGGGCATTATCACCTGCCTGGAATACGAGCCTCGAAGGTTGCCTCGACGTACAATGTTTCGTTTTTTTTTTATTCAGGCAAATTACTAAAGTTGCTATTTAACTACTCGCATAAAAGTTAGGTAATTATGTGGTTAACGACATACTTTACACTTTTTCTTTTGCTTCTGTATTAACTGATGTTTGTGTGGGGGATAATTTAGTGAGTACAAAACTTTTATTTTATTCACACCTACACCTATTAATTCATATGATCCCAATAGATTGTCGATAGTGACTCTGACTGGAATTCCATGGGTCCAACAGGTAACTTTGTTTGCATACGGGTGCAGCACCAATATGCGGGACAGTAGCAGCGATTCCCTTAAAATTATGCGAAAGTATATCCTAGTACCTTCAATGTCTCTATAGCTATTTTAATTAGTGAATTGATTGCCATACCTGCAGGTTTCTCATTGTGCTCCAATGGCTTCAGTCCAAGTTTGGCTCGTAATTTATTGGTTTCTTCAATTGACAAGCTCTCTTGAGCACCGCCGCCGCTCGTTGAGGGCGGCGACTGTGAGCGATCTGCCGAGCGAGCTGGTATGAACGTGTTCGCTTCACTCTCTGAACTTTTCTCCCTGGTTTCATTAGATAAAATACAATTAATAAACTTCAAAATCGGCATATCTAGTTGAAAGTTTTTTATATTAAGCAGTTGGATAAATTAGAATTCAAAGTGATCAAAAGTAACAAGTAAAAATACATATTACGAATAATCAAATATTCACCTATAATGTGCTATAATTACCTGTGGTTCTGTTCATCTTTCTGTGCGCGATTTAGTTCTCTGGCTCGTCTGTCACGTTCCACACTACTGCTGCGGCTGTGGGAGCGAGCGGCCGACTCCTTGCCGAGGTGGGAGTCCACCGGCACCTCCTCAACTATAACAATCAGGACCACATTTATTCACACCTGTATGACACAAGTGCATGTGTGACATTATGTCACATCACTACTACATCATCTGCATGTACACAACATCAAAGATCATACAAATCAAATATTATTTAGTTGAACTGGATGAAAACTTACTCAGTGTTCAGTAGTTCCAATCTGGGTTAGTTCTCAATTACCTTTTTTAAAATAACTTAAATACTAATATATTATATAAAAAATATATTTCATTATTAATTTTTAACCTATTTAAGTCAAAGTCAGTAAAATTTTACTGTTTGTGTAACAAATCTGGCCTGCTGTAGCTAACCATATGAATCAAATCAGGACTATATAACAATGTGGATACATGTACATGTATATAAGAACAAAATAACATCATCATTCCCTTATTAGTGTCCAATAAACTTATTTCTGAAACTTCAGCCGAAAATAATAAAAGTAGCCCTCTTATTGCTCAGGTAAAAAACTACCCAATTTCAGAGTAATAGATTATTACCTTAAAAGTTATAATATCAAAAAAGAATAGATATAAAACAGTTATTTTTACAAAATGTTTTCCTTGTTAAATATCTTTACACCAATTAACTAGTAAAGCTAGTCACATAACTGAACTTGAACTACTAAAAAGTTCTATTATATTTGCTTATATATATTTTCTAGAAAATTGTTACACAATTGAGTTTCACTACAATGTGAGGATATTATTGTAATAAATATTATTATTGTTGTCACTTTAATCTATTTCAAATATAAGACAATAATTACTTTAAGTATTATTTTGGAAAGTAAAAAGATCTGAGATCAGTGAAGGAAGTGTGGGAGAGCCAAGTTTCTTGAGGTTACGGGAGGCCTAATCCTTACCCTACCCAATCCTTGAATATCTGAAACTTTTATCTTTTAAAGGCCGGCAACACACTTGTAACTCCTTTGGTGTGGTGGTGTCCATGAATAGCACCGGTTGCTTATCATCAGGTAATCACTCTGCTCGTTTGCATACTGATCCCATAAAACAACTGATTTTACAAAATATTGTCATGATTCAAAATGTAAGTAGGTAAAATTTGGTGTAGCTATAACAAAATTATGATATAGTGAGATCAGTATTGCATCTCAACACTAGCAAATAGTCATTATACTTTTTCAGAAAGTTTTACTCAACATAAAACTTTAGTAGCACTCAGAGTAACACCTTTTTAGTTATTTTTTTTAAGTCAGTCTTTCAAGATACGCTACACACCTATTTACCATAAAAATTTATATTTAAGTGTTTCTTTCACTCTTCAATGCATCAAAATATTTCCTTATGCTACCAATTACAAAGGCAAAGTTTGTAAGTAAGGATGGATACATTTTTGTTACACAAAAACTACTCAACAGCTTTAAAAGACATTTGGCACGGAGATATAAGTCAGTAAGTAGCCTTAGGATAGTCTGGAATAACACATCTGTTCCAGTTTTTTACCCTAGTATTGGAAGTGAAACTGCTGGTGGAAAATTTTTTTTTGCGCATGAAATCTTTGTTTATCTGAAATATCGGACATTAACAGCAGCACTCAGCACTACTGCACTCAAGTAACAGCAATCCAAATATAACTGATGTAGGTAAGTAAACAGATATTCTTGCTTGTGCACAGTAATATGTAAGCATGTGTTGGTTTTTGTAATATTTGTATCCATCACTTGATCATGACTTCCCACAGACTCCACACAGCTCCACAATACCTACCTGACGTCAGCTGCACACGGACGCGGTGGAACTACTCGAATGCCACCGAGTCTGAAATAACGAGCAGACTATGCCATTATATTGTCAAATGGGAATACCACCAACACCGATCATTATTTCCACAACAACTTACTGCGTAAATAAAATCGCAACCATCAAGTCAGTTTGTACTATTGCAGCAATTTATATTCAAAACCATGGAAATAATCACGGGTGTCTGGCGTACCTCATCCTAGAAAGTAAATTAAGGTAACTAACCGTCTGGGGAGCGGTCTCGCTTGCGATCTTTATGTTTCCGATGCTTTTTGCGTTCTGTACGATCACGTTGAACTTCCTCGTTTTCCAGTGGGGAACGAGACCGACTCCTGTGCTTCTTCTTCTTCGATTCTTTCTTATGTTTTTTAGAACCCATTTTGCTGATGTTAGGTCAAAAATACAATCGGAAAAGAAAATAAATTTGTTTTGCTCTGTAATCAATAAACACTCAAATTGGTAGCAACAACAATCAATTTACCGTCGCCATTTTGTTATGCTCACGGTATTGACAATTTGTCGTGACAAATGACAAATTAACAATTGTCAAAATAGAATTTCGGCGATCTTTTTTTTTGGAGTTTATGGCCTGGATACAAGTTCTTTTAGCTAAATTTCAGCGATCTATGTCAAAACTTAGTTGCCATTAAACAAAACGTTATTGCCTTTTTATCACTTATTTGAATCCCTACCTACTGAGCTTATAAAATGGTTTTAGTGAATTGTTTTTGAATAGAAACTGTCATGAGACATTTTTTTATGTCAGAGGTTTATCAAAGATTTAAGGATGGCATTATGGTGTTGCTTCACGCCGGGTGTTTTTGTGGCCGTCACAGAGAACATTATATTGGTGGCCATGCTATGACTCGGGTCGAGTATGCCCATTCGTGCCGAAACATGGCTCTCCCACACTTGAAATTTATTGAAAAGTAAGGACTTACTCATGTGAATTACCAAAAAAAGATCTACCTACTAGTTTTAAGACACTGTGGGACTCATTTTCATTACCAGAGACCCTGATATGTCGCTAGTTTTTTTTTTTGTGAGGGGAAAATCATCTAATGACTTCTCCCGCCCAGGGCCGGGCAGGAGGGAGTGTCAGACTCTTACTGACTAAAAACCCCCCTGTTCCTTCTCCTGCTCTGTGCCGAGGTCGCGGTACCTCATTGCGCTTACCCCGCAACCCCGGCTGAACATCAGCCCTTTAGGGCCCCGTTTGTGGTGGTCGAATGGCTCTTTGAGGCGGGCGCGGAACGCTACGCGCCGTACGCTCGGGCCTGGTTCTGGTCGGGCGGCGAGCTGCCCTTACTCGCCGACCGCAGGCCCGTGCTTACGGTGGCCGGAGATCGTCCCTCGATCCCCGACGCCCGTAGTGTCGCCAGTTGCGGCTGCTGGGGCGTGAGGAGGAGGATTGCTCCCTCACGCGGGCCGCCTCTCTCTTTGCGAGCATGACTGTTTCACAAAAGGAGGAGACGGCGTCCCAGTTCCTCTCACTCCGCACCATGGCCTCCAGGTGGCAGGTGAGGACGCCGTGGCGTCTCTCAGGCCACTCCTCAAAGAGGGGTCTTACCGCTGCTATGGGTAGCTAGTCGGCTAAGCTAACAATTAAATTCATGTTATTAAATTAGCTTCTATTATAGGAGACCTTTATTTTAAATATATTAGATAACAGCGCCTATTTGGTCTCAATCACACATATGCCCAGGGAGGATATAATAGACCAATCGATTTTAATCTTTGGTAAAATACTTATTAGGATTTGCGAACTCAAATACAAAAAGGAAGCACCATAATAAAGTTAGTCTCTTTCATCAAAATTTTCATAACTAAGTCACCAAATATGTTTCAAAGAAAACATTCAACGTTATTTAAAAAATGCTTTATTCATTTACAAAACTCAACAATAACTTACAATGCAATATATTACAATATTATAAATAAGGCAAGAAAACTATTTTTAATTATTATTGCCAATTGGTGTAACTGTTATACAATATGTAGGACGGCAATGTTTCGTAGCTTTGCCTAAAGATAGATATTATACTATAAATACAGTATGCAATAAATATTGGAAGCGATCACATCACCTATCGTAAATACTGGAAGAGCTTCGACCTTCATAGCCTCTCAAATCTTTGAGCATTACATATAACAAATTGATCAAGAATAAACAAAATAATAACAACACTGCATTATATTCATAACAAAACTACACATAGTATATACATACAATAATGATGTATCAGTGCAAAGACAGTATCCATTTGTTTGGCCACTAAACATATCATAAAACCCTATCTCCAGTATAACAATAACTACTGTCTCTGTCCTGGCTCATCTTTATTTTCTTACTTGCATGCTAAAACCGTGCAAAGTATACTTAAAACTTATTGTATGAGAGTAGACAGCAGGAGGAATGTTGGTACAAAAATATATTTACACTTAACTAAGATATGTGTCACTGCTCATACCAGCATACATTTGCAACTATATAACAGTCTTATAAATAGAGCACACACATATACAACATGATTCTAAAGTTGAATCACTACTTTATATCTCTCTGTTAGCTTTCAGGCCATCATTTATTTCATTTAAATCTATATTGTCAGCAATAACATACAGTCTACAAAGGAAGTCACAGATAGTTGGATACTTTTATGGAATTTTATACCAAAAATACTTCCTTGCTTATTACTTCCTTGACTGAATAATATTTACAATTCTTAAAACTTAGCATTCGAAAAATATACAAAAACATACAGGGATCGTAACTATAAAATACACGGTAAATAATGTATCGCTGTGCGATATACTTCATTCATTGTCTACAATTGAAAATATTGCTTGTAGCGATAATGTATCGTATATTTGGCACAAACATTACAAAACTATTGCTTTACCTAGCCTTACAATACAATTTACATAAAGGGAAGACTTTGATTGCTCCGGTATATTTACCAGCGATATGACTTAGATAGTGTTTGTTGTGGTATATTTATGTGTCTTACACATTCATTTACATTTACAAAAAATAGTAGAAATGGGATGAAAACCGTGGAATGAATCATGGAAGGAAAATGAAAATCTGAACAAAGAAATTAGATGGAACAGTGAATTGCTGACGCGGTGGCATGTGCGGTAATTGGACCGTACAGTACCTAAGTAACGATGTGAATGATATAGACATTTGTGATAGGAAGTTTGACAGGGAATAGTGGTAGTACACATATTGTTGACTCCAAGAACATTGGTATACGGTTAAGAATGTAACGAGTTTCAGCTCGTTTATTAAAACTTTACGCTTAGAGATATTATAACCAAGGCTTGTTCTAAAGTTTAGGTTATCTTCTTGTTCTAGTTCTAGTGTAGGATATAGTAGTGAGAGGGGGAGGGGGGTGTCAGAAGAGCGCGTGTGCGGGCAGTATGCGCACGGGCGCGGGGCGCTGGCTGCTGCAGCTGTCCCAGGCCAGCACTAGTCGGAGTGTAGTGTACAGTAGGGGGAGGGGGGTGTCAGAAGAGCGCGTGTGCGGGCAGTAATGCGCACGGGCGCGGGGCGCTGGCTGCTGCAGCTGTCCCAGGCCAGCACTAGTCGGAGTGTAGTGTACAGTAGGGGAGGGGGGTGTCAGAAGAGCGCGTGTGCGGGCAGTATGCGCACGGGCGCGGGGCGCTGGCTGCTGCAGCTGTCCCAGGCCAGCACTAGTCGGAGTGTAGTGTACAGTAGGGGGAGGGGGGTGTCAGAAGAGCGCGTGTGCGGGCAGTATGCGCACGGGCGCGGGGCGCTGGCTGCTGCAGCTGTCCCAGGCCAGCACTAGTCGGAGTGTAGTGTACAGTAGGGGGAGGGGGGTGTCAGAAGAGCGCGTGTGCGGGCAGTATGCGCACGGGCGCGGGGCGCTGGCTGCTGCAGCTGTCCCAGGCCAGCACTAGTCGGAGTGTAGTGTACAGTAGGGGGAGGGGGGTGTCAGAAGAGCGCGTGTGCGGGCAGTATGCGCACGGGCGCGGGGCGCTGGCTGCTGCAGCTGTCCCAGGCCAGCACTAGTCGGAGTGTAGTGTACAGTAGGGGGAGGGGGGTGTCAGAAGAGCGCGTGTGCGGGCAGTATGCGCACGGGCGCGGGGCGCTGGCTGCTGCAGCTGTCCCAGGCCAGCACTAGTCGGAGTGTAGTGTACAGTAGGGGGAGGGGGGTGTCAGAAGAGCGCGTGTGCGGGCAGTATGCGCACGGGCGCGGGGCGCTGGCTGCTGCAGCTGTCCCAGGCCAGCACTAGTCGGAGTGTAGTGTACAGTAGGGGGAGGGGGGTGTCAGAAGAGCGCGTGTGCGGGCAGTATGCGCACGGGCGCGGGGCGCTGGCTGCTGCAGCTGTCCCAGGCCAGCACTAGTCGGAGTGTAGTGTACAGTAGGGGGAGGGGGGTGTCAGAAGAGCGCGTGTGCGGGCAGTATGCGCACGGGCGCGGGGCGCTGGCTGCTGCAGCTGTCCCAGGCCAGCACTAGTCGGAGTGTAGTGTACAGTAGGGGGAGGGGGGTGTCAGAAGAGCGCGTGTGCGGGCAGTATGCGCACGGGCGCGGGGCGCTGGCTGCTGCAGCTGTCCCAGGCCAGCACTAGTCGGAGTGTAGTGTACAGTAGGGGGAGGGGGGTGTCAGAAGAGCGCGTGTGCGGGCAGTATGCGCACGGGCGCGGGGCGCTGGCTGCTGCAGCTGTCCCAGGCCAGCACTAGTCGGAGTGTAGTGTACAGTAGGGGGAGGGGGGTGTCAGAAGAGCGCGTGTGCGGGCAGTATGCGCACGGGCGCGGGGCGCTGGCTGCTGCAGCTGTCCCAGGCCAGCACTAGTCGGAGTGTAGTGTACAGTAGGGGGAGGGGGGTGTCAGAAGAGCGCGTGTGCGGGCAGTATGCGCACGGGCGCGGGGCGCTGGCTGCTGCAGCTGTCCCAGGCCAGCACTAGTCGGAGTGTAGTGTACAGTAGGGGGAGGGGGGTGTCAGAAGAGCGCGTGTGCGGGCAGTATGCGCACGGGCGCGGGGCGCTGGCTGCTGCAGCTGTCCCAGGCCAGCACTAGTCGGAGTGTAGTGTACAGTAGGGGGAGGGGGGTGTCAGAAGAGCGCGTGTGCGGGCAGTATGCGCACGGGCGCGGGGCGCTGGCTGCTGCAGCTGTCCCAGGCCAGCACCACGCCGCCGCCGTAGCATGCGAACAGCAGGCTCGAGTCGCTGCTGTACGTCAGGCTGCGAACAACAACCGTACCGCTATAGACATTCTACTCCTTGCAGCCCACTCCCATAAGGAATCACCTAAGTTAGTGAGAGACCGCTAGCGGGTACCTGAGGAGGGGGGCGCGCGCGTCGGGCGGCGGCAGGTAGAGCAGGGGGCGCAGGTCCCAGGAGCTGTAGAGGCGCAGGCCGCCGGAGCGCAGGCCGGCCGCCACGCCGTTGACGCTGACGCCCTCCGGCGCGCCCGAGTAGCAGACGCACGTCACCTCCTCCACCACCTTCACGCTGCCTGCAGCACCAACCACACTAATTACAACTTGTGGATTCTTACACTGACAATGCACAGCTCTGCTTTATGTATACTTCATACTGAACATTTCGCTGATGCTTTTTTTAGGGATAAAAATCTTCTCCAGACCTGAACGAGGCAAGAGTGAGTGTCAAACTTCCTGCCCTTGTCCCGTTTTATTTGGGGTCGCCGCAATATGTTTTTTTCTTCCATTCTGTCCTGTCACCCGTCACGCTATTGCTAACTCCTCTGTCTGCCATATCACTTCTCACACAGAGTGAGTGTCAAACTCTTACTGAATAAAATCTACCCCGGATCTTCTCCTACTCAGGACCGCTACCCTATGCTATCTTGTTGGCACTGGGTCTTCTACACGACTTGCGTCACTTTATTTATATAAAGAAACATTTTTTACAATAAATCGATAAGTACAAATACTGCTACGCGATAAATAACATCAGGAAAACGACGAAAATTTACTTACAAGACGTAACTTTATACACAATGCAATTTTATTGTATTTTAGCAGCCTTACGATACATCCTCTGATACAAGCACAGCAAATACACCAAAGAGGTGGAACATGATATGAGCGACACTGACCTACAAACCGGGCGTTGACAGTGTGCACTCGAATGAGTGACTTGTACTTGTAGGCATCCTTTTCGTAGGCCTCGGCGTCGTTGTTGTCGTCCAGGTCGGGCCCCGCGACCCCCGCGCTGCCGGGGCCCGCGTTGCTGGCCGTGATGTCGTGCACGGACGCGATGTCGCACAGCGTCTCGCTGATGGTCACGTGCGTCACCGACAACATGTCCCGGTTGGGCAGAGTGCGGATGTATGTCAGTCTGCAGCCAATCACACCAGCATACTTAACATTGTTGCTCGTTATACAATAACCAATGAGAGGGAGAAAAGATATTAAGGAGGGTATGTTACTTGTGCAGGTCCCAGAGCACGATGTTCCCGTCGAGGCTGGCGGACACGAGCAGGCCGGCGCGCGGCGCGGCGTGCAGCGCGTGCACGGGCGCGCGGTGCGCGTGCAGCGTACGGCACGCCGCGCGCACGCCGCCGCCCGCCTCGCGCACGCGCATGCACTGCACGCGCCCCGACGCGTACCCCAGCACTAGCGGGTACGGGCAGCCCGCCGTCACGCATGATTCTACTTTCGTTATCTGATGTCGGGAAGACAACCATGTGAGTTATTCATATGTGAACATTTTATTTAGCAGTGTGTGTTAGTAGCAGTAAGTGTGGAGGTTACATCAAATTTATCTCATGTATCAGTAAGTCAGTACACACGTCATAATATCATAATTCATTAGCAAATCATTAATCTTATCTTATATATAAAAATGGATCGCAAAATGCGTTGGTAAGCGCATAGCTCAACAACGCCTGCACCAATTTTGCTAATTCTTTTTTGTTGTGTTTGTTATTGTCAGGAGAAGGTTATTATCAAAGAAAATATTAGAAAAGTAGAGGGGAAGATTAGGAAAATGTGACCCTTATATAGCGAGAAAGTTGGACCCGTGCGAAGCGGGGGCGGGCAGCTTGTCCTAAATAAAGTGGATACGTCTCTGTTGAAACTCCAAATCTAGTTTGATTTAAATATCTTCATCATCTATCAATCAGCAAAAGACGTACGGTGAGAACCGTACATAACCCAACAATGGCCTAGGGCAGCGTGAAGATGTCGCGGCGTGTACCTGGTCCAGCGCGCACAGCTGCAGCAGCAGGTCGGGGCGCAGGTCGCGGCGTCGCTTGAGGCGCACGATGTTGTCCGAGTGTCCCCACGACACCAGCGCCAGCGCGCCCTGCCCGCCCGCCTGGCCTGCGCCACCCACCTCGCCTTCACATGTAAAAAGTAGCGAATGTAAGATAGCGCCGTGTGCCCCAAGAATGAGTATAATGAAGCTGGAGGCGCGGGCGGTACCGTGCAGCGCGACGAGCGCGGTGGCGGCGGTGGCGACGGCGACGGAGCGCGCGTGCGGCAGCGCGGCGAGCGCGGCGGCGCCGGGCAGCGCGCGGCGCGCGGCGGGGCGCGGCGCGGGCAGCGCGGGCGAGCCGGCCCAGCGGCCCCAGCGCGCGGCGCGCACGCCGGCCCAGACGGCGCGCGGCGCGGGCCCGGCGGCGGCCACGTCGCGCGCGGCGTGCGGGTGCGGCGCGCGCAGCAGCTGGCGCGGCGCCTGCCCGTACGTGCGCACCATGGCGGCCGCCGCCGTGCGGTCCACCTCCTCCTCCAGCGCCATCGGGTCGAACCCGTAGTACGTCTGCAACATGGTGCCGCGTCACTCGCGCCGCCCCGCGACGCTCGCGCGCGCGGCGGCCGCGGACTACTCACGCAGGCGGGGAACACGTTGATGGCGTCGAGCGCGGCCTGGCCGGTCTGCTTGTACCCGAACACCAGGTCGATCCAGTGCGGCAGGTGCTCGGTCACGTAGGCGGACTCCAGCGCCTGCCGGTGTATGAGCGTGAACAGGCGCGCGTCCGCCGCCCAGGGGGGCAGCTCCACGTCGTCCACGCTCGCGCCGCACTGCCGCTTGCCCAGGTTCAAACCTACGTCAAATATCCTTAGTACAACAACAGACTTGCTGCTATTGCACTCAGTTAACCACAAGTACCAGACGGTAGATATACCTTCATTATTGTGAAACAGTTCCGGCAGATAGAAGAGCTCTGGGATGAGCTCCTTGACATCGGTGGGCGAGTCGTTGGTGATGAGCCGCCACGTCGTCGCCAGCGAGTGGAACGTGCGGTCCGGCATGTCGAAGTTATTGTCTGAGAAGAAATTAGTCAACTGTCAGGTCTGAGTTTAATTATATTGTCCTTGGATGGCAGTGCAGTGGTATGATAAGTGTGTAATGGTAGGAGTAGTGCGAGCAGTAGTGAGTACCTTGGTAGTTGAGGAAGAGCTCGGTGAAGGGCGGCACGCGCACGAGGTAGTGCAGCACGCCGCCGGAGTTGGAGTAGAGCGAGGCGTAGTGGTGCGGGGCGCGCGCCACCAGCGGGCTGCAGCCCTCGCGCCGCGCCGCCTTCAGGTCCTGCCGGGACCAGCGACACACACAATAATGTATCACATAAACAATGATTGCACTGCAGTGTGCAGCCAGTGTGGTGGACTGGTGAAATTAAATCCCTTAAAATGCAACACTCACGTTATAGATATTGATGTAATGTTGCTCCCTGTTCTTGTTCTGCACAGCCATGGGTTTGCTGAGGTCCCGGAAGGAGGCGGGGTCCTCGAGGTCCAGTATCCGCGACGTATAGTCCGCAATGACGAAGGGCAGCACGGGGTACTGCATGAGGTCGTTGTAAGAGCGTCCACCGAGCCCGTTCAACCGCATCAGGTACTCCCAGTTGGTGATGTTGCCATTACGCCACTGGGTCATTGCGTCTGTCAACGTGTCTGGTTCGATCCTGAAGATAACAGATTTTTGTACAGAGATGTATGATGTCAATAAATGAAGAATGCAAGTAATGTTGGACACAAAATACTACCTTGTGGTACACCGAAATAAAATGTTAGCCACAATTATATTATTTGAGATAAATAAAAACATTTATTGTAAAGATGAATGGCAAGATGAGATGAATGAAGAAATGACGAGAATGTGAGTGCTGAGTACCTGTCAGGTGGATGATGCGTGGCAGCGAGTGCCTTGAGGAAAGCGGCGCGCTCCGCGGTGTCCGCGAAGGCCAGCAGGTGCGCGTGGCCGCTGGTGAGGAAGAGCTCCACGGCCCGCTCCTGCAGGCACCAGCGCCGCGTGGCCACCTGCGCCACGCTGTCCAGCGGCCAGCTGTGGGCCTGCGGCGCCGCCTGCAGCTCGGGGATGTAGAGGCGCTCGCGGCGGCTGGGCAGCGGCGGCGCGTCGTCGGGCACGAAGTGGATGCACTTGTCGGTGAGCAGCAGCTCGCCGTCCAGCTCGGCGGCCACGCTGACGGCCGTGGCGCGCGCCATGTAGGCCACGGTCTCGTGCAGCTGCAGGCGCGCCACCAGGCCGCCGCGCCGCGCCATCCAGCCCGCCAGCACGCGCGCCAGCGGCGCGGGGCGCGGGCCCGCCTTGTGGCGCTGCGCGGGCTGCAGGAAGCGCTCGGCCACGAGCAGCGGCGCGCGGCGCAGGCGCACGCGGACGCGGCCGGGCCCCTCCACGTCGTCCAGCTGCCAGGCGGGCGGCCAGGCGCGCGGCTCGTGCCACACCGCTGCAACCAACAGCTGCTACAGCCGCGTCGCGCCGCGCCGGCCGCCAGGCGGACGGACACTTACCTTGTTCGTGCGTGTAGGTGTCGATGAGCGTCTGCCAGGCGTGGTGCGCGGCGGCCTGGTCGGCCTGCGCGCGCCGCAGGTGCTCCATGAAGGCCTTGCGCTGCGCGTTCTGCACGTCGACGACGCCGCGCGTCACCGACATGGCGCTCTCCGTCACCTTGCTGGCCAGCCCGTCCTTGCTCCACACCACTCTGTCACATCACTTGCACTTACTTCACTACAATAGAGCACTCTACCAAACGAGCATTACTATATTGGTACAACACGCGACTGCCGCATTACCGTATATAATTTAGGTTGTTTCTATTAAAATTATTATTCTTATAAAATATTTTTTGAAAGAATAATAACAATCATACAAAGCATCCAACTTATAATATACATGTACTTCTAAGAAAAAAACACTTTCTCATGCTCAACTGTAATTTACCGTCACCTTTATAAACTAAGCTTTGAGGCGTACCTACACCCAAGTTTGGCGTGCTTAGTTCCAAACAACATGTAAAGATAACATTGAGTGGGTCTTACTTGGCGATGTGAGGCCTGGCCTTAGCGGCGGCGGCGGCCCAGCGCGCCATGTCCTGCTGCAGGAGGGCGGCGGCCTCGGGCGCCAGCGCGTGGCTGGGTACGCGGTCGCTGAGGCCGGCCTGCGTGGCCACGGCCCACGTGCGCGCCCAGTCCGTGATGGCCAGCTCCACGCTGGGCTCCCCGTTCTCCGCCGCCCCGTGCACGTGCTTCAGGATCGTCAGCAGGTACACCGCCAGCTGCCGCGTCACACATACACTTGGAGTCAGTGAGGAAGGAAGGGGCCGCGCGGCACGTTACGCAGTTACCCTAGTTGTCGTGTACATACCTTCCGCAGCTGCGCGGGGTCGTGCGGCGTGAGCAGCGCCAGCACGTGGTGCGGCGCGTGGTAGAGCGCGCGCAGTAGCGCGGGCTGCAGCGCGCGCGTGCCGGGCGCGGGCGCGGCGCCCCACCAGAACAGCTCCTGCAGCGCTGCCGCCCACTCCGCGCTGCCCTGCGCCCACCAGCGCGCGCGCCCCGCCTGCGTGCCGCTCACCGCTGCACACGACCAACATTTGTCACACACTCCATAGACCGGCGCAACCACCGCGCGGTGTAATAGGGTGACATACCCAGCAGCAGCGTGGACAGCAGGCGGTGGAAGAGGTCCGCGTCGCCGGCCACGGGCTCGGTGGGGCAGTGAGTGAGCAGGAAGGCGAGCGCGCGCAGCACCGTGGCCAGGTGGCGCGCGCCCAGCTCGGCGCGCTCGTCGCCGCCCAGCGACACCGCCGACGTCAGCACTGCGCACACGGACGGTCAGTGGGTGCGGCGCGGCAGGCACACGGCTGCTGGCTGGCTACGTACCGGTCGTGAAGTAGTTGTGCTTGACGGCGGCGCTGGCGGCGTGCTGCAGGCGCTGCTCCAGCAGGTCGAGCTGCGCGCAGTACAGCGCGCGCTGCGCCCCGCGCGCCACGCGCCGCTCGCCCGCGCCGCCCGCCGCCTCCACGTAGCTCAGCAGCTGGTGCAGCTCCATCACTGCCTGCGGGCACTACACCACACCCACCAATCATTGCTGCGGTCCACTTGCATCCAACGCAAACAATTGACCATTCAGCAGAGTGGCACGGACCTGCACGCCGTGTTGTGTGGAGAGCGCCTTCACGGCGATCCTGTTGAGCAGCTCGTACAGATCCTCGAGCAGTAGGTCGCGACCTTCAAAGTTGGTATCAGGCATCTGGCCCACGCCGCGCACGGCCCGCACCACCACCTCCGCCAGCGACACCTCGCTCAGCACCTTCAGAGACGCCTGCCGCACACCAACAACATATCAGATCATGTAGAGATCCAAATCTACTTTAAACAGTCTTATTATGCACTCAACAATGGTAAAACTACTTCAATATGCAGAACGACTGGCCACCCTAATTAGAATGGTTATACAAATCGCAAAAGAAAGCTTTTCAGGTTATAATGATTTTGATTCTTTGACCATTTTAATTTTTCACATCGACTCTCAGAAAGTGTGTTGTACGAATACTAGTTTACTAGCAAGTAGAATAGTGTAACGTAAGAGTATGCAGACCTTGTCGATGATCCTCCGCGCGAGCAGCGTGATGTTGTGTGCGAGCGGGACGTCGGCGAGGCAGCAGGGCAGCAGCGCCAGCAGCGGCGGGCTGCGGTGCAGGGACTCCTCCGTCACGTCCACCCAGATGTCGTCCTGCTCACACAAACCTGATTCTATACTTTAATTTATGACTAGTTTTCAGTTAAAAGCCGCGTTCTATATTAATATAGTTTTTTTTTATGAAACTATCAGTTGAGCAGTCGCAAGGTTAGGAGAGTAATCATTCGGGAGTAACAAGCCGAACGATATAAGTAGTTGTCATTTAGCTATAGAAGGAATGTATATAATGTTTTATAGTAAACAAGTAAGAAACAGTTTGGTTCTCACATCGAGCTGGTCTTCGAGCGGCACGTCGCACTTGGTGAGCAGTGCGGCGCACGCGGCCGCCAGCTCCCAGGAGCCCTCGTACAAGGAGATCTGCGGGGACACATCTAGTTATACAGATACATAATTATAATACTATTGTTAGCAATGACGGCTGTACTTACTTCATAATATTGCTACATGCAAAACATAACTACATATCATTCAGTACTCAGCAATATTCACAACTTGTTATTGCGGGTAACATGTATAATGTGACAACGATTATTTATTACATTTAAGGGAGTAATGTCTACTTGGAATGCATACAGGGATCATATTGATAATGTGTGAAGGGGTAAGTATAATGTGTGAAGGAAGTAGTAGTACCTGGTTGGCGAGGTGTATGTAGTAGTGGTGCGCGTGCAGACGCCGCGCGAGGTCGGGCGAGGCGCGGCGCGTGAGCGCGGCGAGCGCGCGGACGGCGGCGGCGCGGGCGCGCGCCTCGCGCTGGTTGCTCAGCACCACCAGCGTCTCCGCGCACACCGCGCTGCACACCGCCTGCACACACCTAGCGCTACTACATCCCATCTCACTGGTATCTTACATTTCAATGTAAAACCTATGTTATAAAAACTAAAACATATTATGTAGGCAAAGCTCATAATCGGACAGCCAACTGTGAAGACGCGGGATATTAATGATGAAAATAAATAAAATGCAACATTAAATCTGATCCAATTTAAGAGATACCACAAAAATAACGTTAATTATTATTAATTAAATATTAAATATCATAAATAAAGTAAAAAAAGTAATATATTTTTAATAATATACATAAAGGAAAATCACCGTTTCAAATAAATAAAGGAATATTTGAAATAAATATTGTTTCATATTCATAATAAACTTAATTTAAAAAACACATCATAAACAATATAGATAACATACTATATTATTTTAATTGCAGTATTCAAATCGGTCTTTAAAATTATTAACTTAAGATAAGTACAGTCAAGTAATGATGATATTTATAATTATTATTTTACATTATTTTCATTACATATAATTTAATATTTATATTAAATGAGTTGTATGTGTATCGATAGTATGATTACACCGGTTTAATTATTCTACCAAGACCATACACAGATTTAGTTCCATGACACAACTTTTTTTCAAATTGAATTCTTAGAGGGACAGCGCGAACGCAGTCCCTCACTACCAAAAATTACGCGTCCGAGTTATCCACATTAGGGATAATCGCAGGGGTCAACCCAATCGCAGTGCAATGAGAGGACCTCGCCCTGGGGGAACCGCCTTCGTGATCACGGTATCCCCTACGCCAGGTAAGTATGCTTTCTGCCGAGCAAGTCGGGAGGGTCGTTCAACGCCGGAGAATCTTAACACCGCGATTCAGAAAAGCGCGTCATTGTACATCGCCATCTATCGAGCAACGAGGAACTAAAGCTGGCTTGTTAATGCTGCCGTGTATTCCCGAAGTCTGCCGAATAATTCACGATTGCGCAGAACATTGTTGATGTAACAATGCAAAGGAGAAAATAGTTTGCCCTTCGAGTATTGTGTATCGTTTGTAGCCGGCTAGCGAGTGACTTATATTCAATAATAGCATGCTACCTGTATGATTTAATGTATACGTTTAATAAGAAAATATGTGAAAGTAGAATAAGATAATAACATACTACCAAGATTTACTAAAAGGAAGTAAATATAAAATATTTGAAAATACTATTCATAAAATGTAAAAGACGTATTCATAACACGCTTATTAGAAATTTGATACTTTATGAATGAAAATGAATGAAATGAAGTAAAAAAAAAATTTTTGCTTTTTTAATCGAGTGCGAGTTAGACTTGTTCATGAGAGTTTTCTTGGTAGAGACATAAGCACTACGCAATTTTAATTTTTCTCATTTCTAAAAAGATACTAACTAGATCTTATTTAAACCAATTGTTGAGGGAAGTGTATGTAATATTTATCACACGACGAACAAATATGAGGAATAGATCTCGTTTGATGACAAAGTCAAAGTTAAAATCATTAATTTTTCAGTTAGACCCATACAGGCACTTTTGAACGTCAAACAAAATTTTAAAGATATAAAGTGTTAGTCTGTCGGTCAGTCCTCTTAGTGAAGCTATTTACTCGTTCCAAAGTGTAGATTAAGAGAAGAACGAGCAAGAAACTCCATGGTTACTCTTTTTAAATCAGTTTCACATACAGATTCCTTGTACAAACAGTTGGTTCAACTATGTGAGAACAGTGTAAAACTAATATTTATTCAAGAAATATAAAATGAAAATAACCTTAAGGACAATAGACTGACGGCGCCAGTTCACGAACATTACACGTGACCTTTGAGTAAGCATGACAACTCCAAGTTGATATAAGAACCGACATTCTGCTGGTTTAACCAATTGTAATAGGTTACACAGGGCACTCACATTTGCAAATTTATCAAGTTTGACAATAATTATAATGCAGTTTTACAACATTTCAGAAATGCCATTCAAGTAGAAATCCACTGGAACATTATTTATTTTGGTGTAGGTATGCTTTCCTGTGGAGCAAGACCAGGATGTCTCCAAGCATCTTTATCAACCTAAATAGCTCTGATGGCACACTTTTGTAAGATAAAGATAGACTCAATGTCAGCAGCCTATCCCCACAACAAAATGCCATACGACATAATGCTATGCTATGTGTCCATATGTGTTACCTGTCAAATGCTCCAGACAGCAAATGCTGCAGAGCTTAATGGTCCTGCCAGAGATGTTATATGAGACCCCCATTGTTTCATCTATTGTTATACCCAGAAAAGTAGTTTGTTATAAAAATTCCAATTTTACTTTTAACAGTTGCCAAACTAAATCGTATACACTTCGTCTTTTTGTCGTTTATTACAAAATTATTTACTGAAACCCAATTATGAACCTTATTTACCTCGGCATTGATTCCTTGTCCATCTATTTATTTTAAAAAATTAACGATGTGTCATCAGCAATTAATACCATTCCCGGTTCACGTTGAAATAAATGAGGTAAGTCATTAATGCAGACTATAAATAAGAAAGGACCTAATATCGAGCCCTGTGGTACGCCCATAGATATGTTAGCACTCAGGGAGTTCACTTTATTTACCTGTACTTTTAGCTGTCTACTCTGGAGGTAGGATTTTAATAAATTAAGTGATGCCCCTCGAATGTCGTGCCCGGGTAGCAATGTGCAGTGTGTGAGCGTGGTGTACCTGTTGGTGCGCGTGGTCGGGCAGCAGCGCCAGTATCGGGTAGCAATGTGCAGTGTGTGAGCGTGGTGTACCTGTTGGTGCGCGTGGTCGGGCAGCAGCGCCAGTATCGGGTAGCAATGTGCAGTGTGTGAGCGTGGTGTACCTGTTGGTGCGCGTGGTCGGGCAGCAGCGCCAGTATCGGGTAGCAATGTGCAGTGTGTGAGCGTGGTGTACCTGTTGGTGCGCGTGGTCGGGCAGCAGCGCCAGTATCGGGTAGCAATGTGCAGTGTGTGAGCGTGGTGTACCTGTTGGTGCGCGTGGTCGGGCAGCAGCGCCAGTATCGGGTAGCAATGTGCAGTGTGTGAGCGTGGTGTACCTGTTGGTGCGCGTGGTCGGGCAGCAGCGCCAGTATCGGGTAGCAATGTGCAGTGTGTGAGCGTGGTGTACCTGTTGGTGCGCGTGGTCGGGCAGCAGCGCCAGTATCGGGTAGCAATGTGCAGTGTGTGAGCGTGGTGTACCTGTTGGTGCGCGTGGTCGGGCAGCAGCGCCAGTATCGGGTAGCAATGTGCAGTGTGTGAGCGTGGTGTACCTGTTGGTGCGCGTGGTCGGGCAGCAGCGCCAGTATCGGGTAGCAATGTGCAGTGTGTGAGCGTGGTGTACCTGTTGGTGCGCGTGGTCGGGCAGCAGCGCCAGTATCGGGTAGCAATGTGCAGTGTGTGAGCGTGGTGTACCTGTTGGTGCGCGTGGTCGGGCAGCAGCGCCAGTATCGGGTAGCAATGTGCAGTGTGTGAGCGTGGTGTACCTGTTGGTGCGCGTGGTCGGGCAGCAGCGCCAGTATCGGGTAGCAATGTGCAGTGTGTGAGCGTGGTGTACCTGTTGGTGCGCGTGGTCGGGCAGCAGCGCCAGTATCGGGTAGCAATGTGCAGTGTGTGAGCGTGGTGTACCTGTTGGTGCGCGTGGTCGGGCAGCAGCGCCAGTATCGGGTAGCAATGTGCAGTGTGTGAGCGTGGTGTACCTGTTGGTGCGCGTGGTCGGGCAGCAGCGCCAGTATCGGGTAGCAATGTGCAGTGTGTGAGCGTGGTGTACCTGTTGGTGCGCGTGGTCGGGCAGCAGCGCCAGTATCGGGTAGCAATGTGCAGTGTGTGAGCGTGGTGTACCTGTTGGTGCGCGTGGTCGGGCAGCAGCGCCAGTATCGGGTAGCAATGTGCAGTGTGTGAGCGTGGTGTACCTGTTGGTGCGCGTGGTCGGGCAGCAGCGCCAGTATCGGGTAGCAATGTGCAGTGTGTGAGCGTGGTGTACCTGTTGGTGCGCGTGGTCGGGCAGCAGCGCCAGTATCGGGTAGCAATGTGCAGTGTGTGAGCGTGGTGTACCTGTTGGTGCGCGTGGTCGGGCAGCAGCGCCAGTATCGGGTAGCAATGTGCAGTGTGTGAGCGTGGTGTACCTGTTGGTGCGCGTGGTCGGGCAGCAGCGCCAGCGCGTGGCGCAGCAGCAGCAGCAGCCCCTCGCACGCCGACCACCCCATGGACGCGCCCGCGCGGACCCGGCGCTGCAGGGACAACAATATCCTCCACTGTACAACTCTACTCTACATGTTCAGGCCACTATTCCACTCAACGACTTCAAGCTTAATAGTTTGGATGGTGAAAATAATTTATTAGAAGAAATAAATATAACAACATTAACAATTTCTAAGGATTCGACAAAAATTTATTATTAACCGACTTCAAAAAAGGAGGAGTTTTTCAAATTCAAAACGTTCGAAGAGCTATCAGGAATTTTACATTATATATGATTTGTACCTAAATTGAACTTATGTATATTGAACATAGCATAAATTACATTGGTAACTGAAATTAATTAATTAATGAAAGAAAGAATAAAAATGTATTTTACCTGATGATAGATGCCGCTGGTGTACATCTCGACGGTGGTGTGGTTGACGTC